AATGTCTCTTTTTATAGCACCTTGTGGTTTATATATTGTTTTAGCACCTTTATATGTTGAATTAATGCTATATAAATACATGCCTTGCTTGTCTAATTCGATCCTTTTTTTATTCCTTCCTTCTTTTGTTTATTGACTGGTGCTGAACATGCAGACACGCTCTTTTTTGAGGGGCACTTTGAATTACATCTTTCATAAACAGTGCAATCTAAAAACTGATAGTTTTACTGACTGATTTGCTGATTTCAGAAATAATTGGTTTAATGAAGATTGCGCTCAAAGCTAGGCAGTGTATGAATTCAGTTAGACTTGTAAACCAGGACTGTTTCAGCATGTCCTGCATCTTCATCAGACTCAAAGGCGAGTCTGTGTGTTTAGTTATTTGAACTCTATTAATACATTAGTATTGTGTATCTGAGCTCCTTCTCCGGGTTCAGTCTTCATGAAGTCTTACTGATTGTCTTCTGTCTCCTCTTCCCTTCCTGAAGTACATGGTATCCTCTGAGTACTGTATGCCACTCTCTATTTTAGTCTAAAGATATTGTTCTGTACAGCCTGAGGGAGATTGCTGCATGGACTACACTGTTCCTCGGCACTGTGTAAAACCTTGTATGGCTTTGCTACCGCTGTGGCTATCAATCCTGATAAAGCAGAGAAAAAGGAAATCTAACTTTTCTGAACACAAACTTCTAAGTCTTCCAGGCGTGTCAGGGATGGAAAAGAGGAAGAAGCCCCGGGGCAAAACTCTCAGCTCCTGCAGTCAGCTCACATTAAGGAACGAGTCCAAGCTCCAGTCAGAGCTGATACACAAAACTGAACCCGACACAGCCACTTGGAAAACTGGGAGGAGAGCTGCAGAGACATGCAGAGTACAAACTACCTCAGCAACTTCATGTTTGTTCCAGTCATACACACACACACACACACACACACACACACACACACACACACACACACACACACACCTACAATAATACACAGATGCTGTAGTAGACTATACAGTTGGTCATCTTAGACATGTGTTGACCCACTGGTCAGCTCGAACAGGGAAAAGACTGTGACGAGACATATAAAGGAAGTTGCTCTCATTAAAGTGGCTGTAAAAGTTTGACAATGGATCAAATGATGATGTGTTCCTCATTGTGACAAACTATCGAAAAAAAAAAAAACCAGAATGATCACCCAACTCTGAATTCCCTCTTAGCTCAAAAGAACTTTTTAGTATCTTTCAATTCAGTGTTTTGGTTTTAAGGCTCGCAACTTTTTGGTTCACTCCCCCTTTTCTCATCAGCGTCATTTCCTGCCACGGTACAGGCAGCTGTTTTCAGCAAAAAAAAAGCTCAATGATAAACTGATAAACTCGCTGCGTCCACAACCTGCACAGCAGCAAAAAGCAAACAGACACAGTCAGAGAGCATCTGGTGAGAATAGTGGAGCGTTTACAGCCAGAGATTTCCCTCACAAACAAGTAGAGAGAGTGGACACCACCAAAACAACTTTTTTGGTGATAATGTAACAATGTTGTGTTGACAGCTTGTTGAATTCAATTAATTCACTTTATTAATCAATCAATTGCAGATTTAAATAGTGTTTGTTTGTGTGTGTGTGTGTGTGTGTGTGTGTGTGTGTGTGTGTGTGTGTGTGTGTGTGTGTGTGTGGGTGTGTGGGTGTCTACAATTGGAACTGAAAGACACTTCCACAGTGTGGTTGCAGCTTCATCTCAACATAAACCTGTCCATACCAACTACTAAAATAGTCATGATGATCATATTCTAAATATGTAAATTGACAGGTTGTGTAATTAAAATTGCAAACTATATATATTACTTAATCACCAGTCTGCTGACTTTAGTCTCCTGCTATTATTAAACACATCATATGCTGAGGGTTTGTCACGTACATGTGGGAGATCTTGGTGTCTTTTTTTTGTTGAGCAGTTTGACTTACATCTTTCATAAACAGTGCAATCTAAAAACTGATAGTTTTACTGACTGATTTGCTGATTTCAGAAATAATTGGTTTAATGAAGATTGCGCTCAAAGCTAGGCAGTGTATGAATTCAGTTAGACTTGTAAACCAGGACTGTTTCAGCATGTCCTGCATCTTCATCAGGCAACCACATTGAGATTTCACATGCGTTTTTGTCTCGCCCTCAGCTGAAGGTTTTCTCTACAGGTAAAACTTATTTTTTAAGCGATTGAAATCTCATCACCTCTAACCACACTCAATCTGGCAACCATGACACAAGTTTGGCCCTTTGGTGAAAGAGAATTTCCCAGAGTCATTCACATTTTAAACGGCAGATGCCTTATTCAAATTCATGTTCAACATTAATAAAGAGCCCCATTCAGTTTCATCTCAGGCATGCATTACACTACAAGTGCTCATGCTTTTACGCAGCACAAATGCAGTTGTATTTTCTTTCAAAGCAGCAGCACAGTTCAGAGAAAAAAATATTTTTACACTGCAGTTACTTTATCATTGATTTTATGAGCATTTTTTAAACAGTTTGTTTTGGGTACTTAAATCAAGACAAGAAATAAAGTAGCTCAATTAACCCTTGATCAGGTAAGCAGACACCCTTCCCTTTTGATAGCTCTTTCCTGCCGTTTCTTAATCATTTAAGGCTCAAAGAAAATTTTAAACCATTGATGAGTACGACCGATCGTTAAATACAATCCTGCTCTTTGCACATACCTGTGTAACAATAGTGTGCACCTGATGTTCTGCAGCTCCTCTACTGCAAAGGTTCCCAACAGTCCCAACAGAAGTCAGTGACAGGCATGCAAAACTGCAGAGAGAGAGAGAGAGAGAGAGAGAGGCAGAGAGAGAAAACACACACACCCCAGCCGCACAAAAGCATGCATGCACATGCATATACACACATAAACCTCACACTCTTACTTTCAAACATTCACATACAGAAACACATGCATAGCATCGACCCATTCCCCCATCATTACAGAGGCCCTGTGGTCAGCACAGTGTGGTTTGGGTTTGAGGCGAAGTTCCAGCACCTTGGTTAGTTTCGTCTGTTTTGACCAAGATTTGTGTGTGTTCTTCTTTTCTGTGACCCTTGGATGAAGTCACATCCTGGATCCTTCAAATATGAGATCACTGGTCGGATTTTACCAGTCTGTGCTTGCAATCTGAACTCTGAAAGACAGAGAATAAGAAAGACTGTTTCCAGAATAACTTCTTCTGACCTTTTCATTTCACAATGGCACTCCAGACAAGGAAAATAACAAATATTGATTTTTTCCAAATGCATGTCTTTATTAACTGTATACGGCATAGGGAGAAAGTCCCCCTCCTCAGGGTTGTCCCTCTCAATATGCCATTGTAAACCTAACTATGTAAATTTAAGTAATATAATAATATGTAGTGAAAGCACTTGTGAAAATGATAAATGGAAAACAAGGCGTTTTTAAGTTTCTTAGTATTTCGTCCACTGTCTGCTACAATCCCACACACATTAGCCAGTACAATGGTTGTGGCTCAGAGAAAAGGAAAACGGACATACTATTATTTTTCAGTGCAGCAAGATGCCAAGTAAGCCTCCAGTAATATTAAAGGGAATGTGAAACATTGTCTGTGAAGTGTCACTGTGATGAAGAAAACAGCAACAGTAACTGTGTTCAGATAGAGCAGCAATAAACGCTACCAGTAACAGAAAGAGACTGGAGATGAGACACTACACTGACTGCAGCACGTCAGAATGTGAACGGTCACTAACTACTGTTAATGAAAATAAATTTTACTACAGTATAAGTAAAATTACTGTGTGAAAATATTCTCAGATAAAAGTACAATGTAAGTCAGTTATAATGTCTCTGAATAAATGTATAACTGTGTTACATTTTAAAATAGGTGAAGGGGAGAGGCAAAACATGTTATTTGGTGATAATAATAATATATGATAAAACTATTAAATGAAAGAGCATCTTTAGGCTGCCAGTTCACAGATGAGGACAGCACTGAAAGATAACCTAACCTAACCCTTTTTTTCCCACTTCAAGCACTGGTTAGTACTGTCACCTCACTGCTGCTATCAGTTTATACAGTTTATACTCACTGGTGGTGAGACCCTGTGTCAGCGTGGGTCTCCTCGGGGTGCTCCAGTTTCCTCCCACACTTCCTGCCATAATTTGGACAATAAAAATGTGCAATTATATCTTTGATTTCTGAATGAACTTTTTCTTAAATTAGAGCTATAAAGGAAGACATGGTGACCTGACATATAAAAATAATATTTTCTAATCATATTTTTCATGTTGAATATTGATCATACAGTATGTGTCTAACTTATTTAAAATCTTAATCTGCAAAGAAAATTGTTACTAATTTAAAATTTAAAAAAAAGTATAGTTGAGTAAAAGTACAATGTTGTCCTCTGAAAAATGAAGTTGCTCAATATGTAGCCTCTGTATTTAAGTACAAGCTTTTTAAATCTGTATCAAAATACACTTGAGTAAATGTATATTTACCTTCCACCACCTCCTATAGGCAATAATATCAATACACAGGACTAGTCTATTGTTGATTTAGTTATTATTTGGTCTAGAAGTAGTAAAAAAATTCCAGGAATTGCTTTTTGAGATTGTTTTTTGTTTCTTGTCTCCCCCAGTAGTGAAATTAAATTTCCACCCATGCTTTCAGGCTGACTCCCTGGACATGATGAACTAACTGCTAAGATCCCAAAAGCTGATCCCAAAACACAGACCTGCTGCATGTAATAAAAGGAGGTACGTTTTATTTAAGTAAGAAAGAAAGAAAGAAAGAAAGAAAGAAAGAAAGAAAGAAAGAAAGAAAGAAAGAAAGAAAGAAAGAAAAAAAGAAAGAAAGAAAGAAAAAAAGAAAGCAGTTACACATAGTGTGACGATTCATGTTCAACTTTTAAATAAAGTTTGTAGGGTAAAAAAAATCTCCTTTCTGATTGGCTGTTACAAACGTCTATCACATTTTCCACTTCCGTGTGTGCTCCGTTGCTAAGTTACAGCTCCTATGCGCTCTCTCCGTCTGCTAAATAGAAGTTAGCCAGATGCTATGTTTAAGTGAGTTTGGGAATATACGAAGATTACAGTAATTTGTAGTTGTTAAAACTACTCTCGTTAGAAGCCATGACAGCTATAAAAGACGGGGAGTACACGGCTACCATCTACAAACTGGTGAGAGTACTGTTCCAATTGAGGTTAGCTGCCTAGCTCAGTGTTGAGCTATCATCGATAAAACAGTTAACGGTGACCGAAACTCCATTCAAAAATCGTTCATTTTAGCGTTTAATGCGTATTGAAACATACAAACAAGACAGGTAACACTTTTCCGGAATTGCGAAGGACTTCTGGTAAATTCACCATACATATAACACAATTAGCACCAACTAATTTCATCAAATTTAAACTGTTGTGATATGTTAGTCCGTTTCTAGATCTGTGTCTGTCTAGTGTTTTTTTTTTGTTTGCTTTTTTTTTTTACCGCTATGATTCCTATAATTCAGGGTAACATTATACTGCTGTCCGGTCAGTTAACACGGTTAGTTTAACTGATGCCCGGAGAATCATACGGCGAGTTCAATTTATCAGTAAGGATAGACCCAGCTTAGCATATAGCTTCATCTAAACTGCATGTTAAAATAGCTGCTGTCAGGAGCGTTTTTCATGCATGTATGTTTTTCACATATAGTTTGTGATCGAGTTGAATTCTGTACAAAACTATCTCAGTTCAGTCTCATCTGTCTTTTAGATTAAAGACGGCCAGTATGTAGAGGCAATTCACATCCTAAACAGTCAGCTTCAAAAACACACGAAGGTAAGTGTGGGATATGTTTGATTTCATTAAAAAATTAAAAGATGTCTGCAGGTCAAATTTGGGCCCAGGATGTCATTGAATTGTCTGAAGTTGTAACCGTATTGTAATATCAACTACAGCTGCAACAGTTAGCTAATTAACCGATCAGTGGATTGACAGAAAATTAAGCTTTTGTACTGATAAATTATTTGTTTCAATCCCTTCATAAAACAAAAATGCCAAACATTCACCAGCTTTCACAATTATGAGACTTAACTGCTTTTTTGTCTGTTTTAAGAACTGAATTAAGAACTGAAACGATTAGTAGATTCATTTATTTAAAATGAGTAATCAATTAATTGATTAAATTACTTGTATATTAATCAATAATCAATTTATAATAATTAGTTGCAGCCCTGATTGTAATCTGAATATTTTTCTGATTATATTAGTCTGACTAAAGAAGAAGTATTAGGACATCACATTGCACCTTAGTCACTACTGCGCATTTTCTGACTTTTAACAGACCAAACTAAGAAAAGAGAAGAAAAATAATCATTAGTCATAGGCCTCGTGGAAATGATGTGATTTACTTTTTTATACCTGAACACAAACAACCATTTCTTTACACTGATTTATATTTATACATTGATTTATAATTTATATTTAGTTCAGATAAGTATAATGTTTTGTCATGTGATAACAGCAGACATCTTTGTTTATATTTCATTGTTCTTGTGTCTTAGATACTTTGTGAAAGGGTGAGGTTGGTGTTTTGTTTAACCACACAGCCTCCTGTGACAGAGGTGTAACTCACTCTTACTTTATGTCCCAGTCCAGGGCAGCACTGTCTCTGCTGGGCTACTGCTACTATCACATACAGGACTTCACCAATGCTGCAGAGTGCTATGAGCAGCTCACACAGCTGCACCCAGAGGTGGAGGAGTACAAGGTGTACTATGCCCAGTCCCTTTACAAAGCTGGTGCTTATCCTGAGGCCAACAAGGCTTCCTTTGTTCTGGACAACCCCAGCAGTCACACCAAGGTACACACACACACACACACACACACACACACACACACACACACAACATCCCAACTTTTCAGCAGATCCACAGTGAGTCTACTGTATTGTATCATAGGGACCTAAAAGTGTTTTGTCCAGGTGTTCAATCACTGCTTCAAATTTGCAATTTAAGAACAACTCTGCCTTATTTACATTGAAATCTTTGACTTTGTTCCCTCCATCTGTTATGTTCTTTTCATCACTGGGAGCATTAGTTCAACCAAAGTGCTTTAACTAATGGATATGGACCAGAAATGCAAAACAACTGAAACAAGGAAAGTTCAGCAACTGGGAACACATTTTAGTACCAGAGAGTCAAAATAACTTTGGATGGAATTTCAGTTAATTTGTCAATATGATAAAATCAAGTAGAATTTTTTTGTAATTCCATGGAAAACGTGTTGGTTTCTTGTGGAAAAACAGATTCCAGGTCATTGCAATGAATTATGGATGACAGTTTGGATCGGAGTCGGAAGTTGATGTTAGTGCTTAATTTTTTGCCCCAAGTCAAACGAACACTTGGCTCGACACATCATGTCCCTGATTTACTTTGGTTTATTCCTCTCTCTCTCTCTCTCTCTCTCTCTCTCTCTCTCTCTCACTCTCTCTGGTACAGATGGTCAAGCTGCAAGCATGTATCAAATATTGTGAGGAAGATTACTCCGCTGCCAAGGTGACAAGCTCTCACACATCATCTGTTTATACACAAAAATTACCATTTCTCTTCAATATGGAGGCAGTTTGAAACATTATTGTGTGTGTGTGTGGGTGTGTGTGTGTGTGTGTGTGTGTGTGTGTGTGTGTGTGTGTGTGTGTATGTGCATGTGTGCGCGTGTGCATGTGTGCAGTCTCTGTTGGAGCAGCTGCCCCAGGATGACCCAGACTACATCTACAACATGGGCTGTCTCCTTTACCAAGATGGAAAGTATGAGGAGGCCTGCAAGAAGTTCATGACTGCCATGCAAGTGCTGGGATACGTGCCAGGTAGTTTTTCAAAGACACATACATGAATACACAGTCAGTAACTGTTTTTATGTTATCATTATCATTACATACAACAGTAACACACATAGCTGGAAGTAAGAGTAACCTTGCTGCTGGCTTCATTGTGTAGGAGTTGGTTGGAAGGAGAGTAAAGGGTAGGCCTGCTCACACAACACTCAACAAAGAACACATACACCATCATCTAGGAACTAAACCGATCACAAGATGACACGCTGTAGGATCTGATTCAGCCGAGGTGACAATGATTCATTGTTTGATTCATTGATTGATTTTGCACGCTGGGAAAAATTTAGGCCAACAGCTTAGTCAGTCATATTCAGGAGTGTGAGGAGAAACTCACTACACAAATAGAAGAGCACAAGCAGTCACACCAGTTTGAAGTTAGGCTGATAATCAGCTGAACATGTTATAGTCAGTAAGGTCTGAATGAGTTGTAGTTAGCTTAAAGTTCAGTATTGATCAGCTGAACTCAGCTTACTAACGACCATCACCTGACTAACCTGCATCAGTACAGCAGGTCTGTTGGCATCACTGACTCTGTTCATTCAAATGAGAGCAGCTCTGTCTGCTCTAAAACTTCCCATGAATCCACCATCTGTCACACACAGAAAGTACAGGACCTGGCTGTGTAACTCTGACCACAGCAGCTGAAAACAAATGAACAATTTTTACAGTTATATTGAAAAACTCGTATTTAAGTTCTATATTTATATACGAACATTGCTGTGCAAATTTTCACAAATAAAGCCAAGTAGTTTTTATTTATCGCTGAACACTGAAGTGCAGTAAAGAGTAAAAAACATAAATCAGATCTCTCTCTCTCAAATTAAATCGAAGGCAACTGGACTTGTATTTGTCTGTGGAAGACAAGTCCAGTTGCCTTCGATTTAATTTGAGAGAGAGATAACAATGACCTGGACGAATGAGAACATTCACAGACATAAATCAGATCTGTTTTTGCTGTGACCCCCCTTTGCCTTTAAACCAGCACCAGTTTTCTTCAGATACAGACAAAACAGATTGAGTTGTTGTTGAACATGACAAAATACTAAATAGAAATAATATGATTTGAATTTTAAATTGTTATTTTATCACATATTTAAGGAGAAATTTAGAAGGCTATCAGACAGAGAATGAGTTAAAGATTGTTGTTTGGGACGTCTGCACAGGCACCATTTAAAGTTAATGTTGGCCTGTTTGTCTTTCTACCCCTCCTCTCAGCATTGTCCTACAACATCGCCCTGTCTTACTACAGCCTGAAGAACTACGCTCAGGCCCTCAAATACATCGGTGAGATCATCGAACGAGGCATCAGGGAACATCCAGGTAAAAACACAATGTGTAGACTAAGACTGACATCAGTCATCAGTCAATTGTCTATCTAATAACGATCTCTTGGTGTGTGTTGTTGCTGTGTGCTAGAGCTGAGCATCGGCATGACGACTGAAGGCATCGACGTCCACAGTGTGGGCAACACCCTGGTGTTGCATCAGACAGCTCTGATCGAAGCCTTCAACCTCAAAGCCGCCATAGAGTACCAGCTGAAGAACCGTAAGAACCTCAGGCAATGCCTCTGAAACTTGGCACGGGATGTACAAAAAAGAAGGATGAACGGAGAGATGAGAAAGAGCCTTAACAGGCAGAGACCTTGACTTTCACAGAGTAACACAGGAGTAAGAAAATAACCAATTATTAAAGTAACACTTTTTGAAATTCTCTGAAACAGTTGTTTAACCACCCTCTCAATCTTTCTCTGCAAATATATCACAATAGTGGTTTAAGTATGTGGTAGCTCTTAACTCATTCTTAAAGTTTGTGTATCCCAGCCAAGCATCACAGCAACGTTGGTCATTAGTGTACGTTCTGTTAATCTGGGTTATTCTTACTCAACTACAGGTTGTATAATTCAACCCAAAATCAGGTCACTTTCACAGTTCTGAGAAGCTTGTGAATGTATCCACAGAGAGACAGAGACATTTAGAAAGAGATGAAAATCACCTGGAAAGGAACTTGTAAAGCCTCCTTTTATCTTCAAAAGCAGAGTTCTCCTCCCTCCTTTCCTCCACCCTCTGACACATTATCAGAACAAAGCTTCAAGAACAGTGATCAGAGGATGATGAGTAGGAAGGAGGATATCTGAAGCCCACATCAAACATCTGCTCTGTCAAAAGGACAGGGAACTACATCACCGGCAGTGTGTACTCACTGACACAAGACAAGGTGCTCGAGGCCAGATCTGAACCCAGGCTGTAGAGATTAACTCATATTTTCATATTCATACTTATAAGATAAAGGATTTGAAGTGGGGGTCGTCCTGGTAGTTAAGGGAGTCAGGACTTAACTGCAACATCCCCTGTTCAATTACTCTCTGTGTCTCTGTCACTGTCTATTAAAAGCAAAGTCATGCTGAAAGTTTCAGGCGTTAAACATTAAATTATCTTTTTAACCCAGTGGCAGAGTGTCAAAGTTTTACCACATAATGTCCCCAGATTACCACAAAAGTGGTAAAGCTGGAAAATAAAAAAGCTAATAGATAACTGCTACATCAAAATCCCACTTAAAAGTTCACCGTGCAAGTTTGTTTTAAAATGAATTAGTGAATTATTGTCCTTAAATCTGAACATGTAAACCTGTTTACAAATGACACCATTTTATATTTTATATTTCCATTTTCAGCTTGACTTTGTATCAGTTGTGTTATTTCATTAATTAACGTTAAATCTCTTAAGTCCATTTGCATATTGAAAAATAATTGCGTCCAACTCTGTAATCAATCTTCATCAACTGAACAGTGTCCTGTGGAGTTTTTGACCACTAGTGTATACACTGTGTAAACAATGCAGTAAATAAATAACCAGTAAATTAATAAATGTCTCATGAGGAAGGAAATTCATCGTCACAACTGAAGGATACACACAGTGTGTTTTGGTGAGAAACACTGAATGTAAACAACTTGTGTTTGTTTACAAGAAAACTCCACAGGGCGTCTTTAAGTGTTGCTTATTGACTTGCTTCATAACCATTGCTAAAGCTCTTTTCATGTTGATTTGTACTGGTTTGTTAAGTTCATCCAAACTCTGATACTGACTCTGATACTGACTCAAACCACCTGTTTTCTTCTCTGTTTGGTTTTCATGTGGATTCCTGCAGTGAAAGGTGCTCAGGAGGCTTTGACAGACATGCCCCCCAGATCAGAGGAGGTAACCACCATCCCCATTGACTCCCATTATGGTCTGTGTGTGGGTGTGTGTGGTTTCTCTACCACACACACCCTACAATACTGTGTAATCTGAATGAAAGCTGCCTGGACCTGCCCCGCTAACAGCCTGGAGTTAAGAGAGATTAATAGAGAATTAGAATAGAGACATAGGTGTGAAAGCTTACATGGAGGTAATGATGACAGGTTTATTGTCTTGAAACTGCCTCATTAAAATGAATGTACAGATGGGACACTGTCCTTGGTCCAGTCTGTCACTGCCACAGAGTCATGACTGTTGTTTTTAACTTTTAAGTTTGAGAGAAGTGCACAACTAGTGCCCCCTAGTGGCATCAAATGTTGCATGTCAGTGTCAAGATGGAAACGCACAAATAACAAATACCATTAAATGAAATGAAAGAATGATTTTTATTGTGTGTTGATACAGTTTTCATGCTTTGACAACTACTGGTGCATGTTTCTGGTTCTCAAAGAGTCATCTAAAAAGAAAAAAGATCTCACCTTTTTTCATAATCTTATTAAAATGATCTCTTTTTCTCATCATAGAGTGTAGATATAAAATGCAGAGTACATGCTCTTATGTGTGTTTGTGTGTGTTTTGGGTTAGGAGCTGGACCCGGTGACACTCCACAACCAGGCTCTGGTGAACATGGACACAAAGCCGTCGGAGGGTTTTGAGAAGTTGGCCTTCCTGCTGCAGCAGCCTTCCTTCCCTCCCGTCACCTTCGGAAACCTGCTGCTGCTCTACTGCAAACACGAGGTATATATGAGGCTGCACTGTGTCATTGGGCACTGGAAGGTGGCAGACTCGATCAGCGATGGGCAGTGAGTCTGTAAGTCTTTATTGCAGGCTCTAGACATGCAGGTCAGGCTTCCTTTGTCGTCCTGCTACTTTTTTCATGGGCCCAAGTTAGTCCATTTAATCACACCCATCCTCTCAACAGATGACAATCCCACTAACTGAGTTGTAACTGTTTTAAGTCACTGCTGATACACACTGTATGTATGTAGAAAATGCAATGCATTTGTCACCAAGTTAGCGAAACTTTGTTGGTGCACACCCCCTGCACCTCGTCAAGGTAAACAACCTTTTTTACCTTACTGTGGTGCTCTGTGGAAAGTCATTTTCACTGTGCCAGCAACTACTTTAACAGTCACAGTATCTCACCAGTGTCAAAAACTGGGTTTTGTTTAGTATGGTTTGTGCACTTTGTGTCTCCAGAATGGTGATCTACGTTTATCCTTTTTGAGTTGGAGCTTCTACACGGCTCAGTGAACACAAGACAACCATTTTACAGTGAGGCACAACTGCCGTTTGATCAAGAGTTCGGAAGAAGTAGTTAAAGGGTGAAACACAGCTTGATCGAGAGCCAGGCTTTCTGCTGACTTCCTTGTTTACTAGGTGCAGAATCACAAGGCATCAATATAGAGTTCTACAGCAAAAGATACCTCTGTTCAAGTTTTTACTGATTCAAGATAGTAAACTACCTGTTGCCATATTTCTTTTTGTTTCTTTCATTATATGGAGAATTATCATGGTTTTCTCCTTCAAACACATGTCACCCTTTGCTACATGAGGGACAGTGTCAGTATTTTCCACCATACTGTACACCAGTGAGGGTCTACGCAGGGAGTAACAATGTTTTTAGAAGGATTTGGACTCGTGGTGTGATTCTTAGTGGAAAGAGCTAAAAACAGAGAGATGTGGGTCTTTCATTAAAATGGTATTAGTGTCTCTGCTGGATCCAACCTCTCTCTTTCTCCCTCAGTACTTTGACCTGGCAGCTGACGTCCTGGCAGAAAACGCCCATCTTACCTACAAGTTCCTCTCCCCAGTGAGTTACAGTCTGTGTTCACATGAGGGTGTTTCATCAAAAATCACACTGGCTCCTCACTCACACTGCATGAACTGAATAGCACATTTTTTCTTTATTACTTTCAGTCTCATTATTATTTTGAAATCCTGAAAAGTTTCCAATCACTGAGTCCATATGAAAGCTGACGTGTTTTGTCTTTTTCCAGTACATGTACGAGTTTCTTGACGCCTTGTTGACCTGCCAGACAGCACCAGAGGAGGTACAGCACAGATGACAAAGTGAAAAACTTTAAAAGCTTTAACTCTAAAGATGCCTCAATCAGTATTTTCAGCAGGGGATCAACTGGCATAAGTGTAATGTGAAAAGTGTCGCTCAGTGTTTTTACACAAAAATCCTGCTCAGTGTTAACTCAAGATTTCAGTTCAGATGTTTTATTATATCAAATAAAAAATCAAGTTTTGTTGTGTGACTGCTTAGCTGTGTTTTTATCAGTGGATTTTCACTCTTTTGTTTGTGTAATTTTTCTGTTTTTGTCACAGGCATTTAGGAAGTTTGATGAGATGAACGCTAAACTGACCGAGCAGCTTCGAAAGCTGGCCAAGCAGGTTGTTCACCTCCTTCCTCCTCTCCTCTTCCTCCTCTGCAGCTCTGCACATTTATAGAACTTTTTGTCTTTTTTATTCATTTTGTATTGTAATGCACATATTTATTTTACATATTTAATTCACATATATATATAATTCTGAAGTATTATATATCAAACATATATCGTCCTGTAAGTGGCACACACCTGCTAATGAGCTTCTTCTGTCAGTTGATCTGGTCCAGACGACATCAGTGAAACATCCTGACTCACAGTTGCTGAAGGAAATTGCGAAACGGCCATATTTGAAACTCGTGTGGTTTTCTCGGGAATGTTTCTCAATGTGTTGTAACTACTCTGCCAAAACAAAAGCTAGATTGTGATATGAAGAAGCTCAGTTGGCTGAATTTGATTTCCTTCTTCTCAAAGGTGCAGGAAGCCAGGCTGGCTCGAGACGATGAAGCACAGAAGAAAGCACTGCAGGACTACGACCTGATGCAGGAGAAGTAAGAGAGACATACACACAAACACACACACACACACACAAACAGATAAACACAGCCTGTATATAAAAACATGCATATGTATATTTCTTTCATTTTTACCCTCTTTATAATTCTTAGTATTTTTGTTTTGTTCCAATTATTTTTATTGCACAGCCTCAGTATCATGTCACCCTGTATTTCATCGCACATATTGTTGAATGTGACATAAAAACCTTTGAATCTTGAATCTTTAATGAAAGAATATTCATGTCCTGAAGAAATAAGAAGAAGAAATGTGTTTTTAGAAGCAAAAAGAAACCTTTGACAAATAATTTAAATCATGAGACACCAGTACTCTCTACATATTAGAACTACTAAAGCCACTAAATCCATTTACCTGCTCTCACCACACATGAAAACACCATCTGTGCTTTTATTTCCCCCTCCCTCCTTCCCATCTGATTGGCGGGGTCTTACCTCAGGTACATCGTGGTCCTGATGGCCCAGGCCAAGATCTACTGGAACCGGGAGAACTTCCAGATGGTGGAGAAGATTTTCCGCAAGTCGGTGGAGGTTTGTAACGAGGACGACACTTGGAAGCTGAACGTGGCCCACGTGCTCTTCATGCAGAACAAGTACAAGGAGGCCATCGGCTTCTACGAGCCAATCGTCAAGAAGCACTACGACAACGTGAGTGCTTCGGGGTGGCTGGTCACATTCACAGAGAAAACAAATGTGTGGAGGGAGACTCAGAGTATCGTTCACCTGTCAGCACCAATGACAGTCTGAGGTCAGGATGAAACACTGACAGTTTGACTTTCTGTCCAGGTGGAGCAGTGTAACATTCAGGAGTGTCCCTGCAAGTGCAAACCTTCGGTAAAAATAGAGACCAAACAGCTGTTTTTCTTCCTCTGCAGTGTCTTCACATCTGTGCATGACATCTGTTTGGATGATTTTCGGCTGTTGCTGTGTTTGTGTGGGATTTTTTTTTTTGTTTTTTTGTTTGCAGTCTTGTTTCTGACATTTTCCCAATTTCAGAAAATGAAGTCACCATAAGCTTGGCTGAGGGTTCCTGGAGTTTTACCATTCAGGCACAAGAAATGAGAAATTACTCATTTTATCAGAGCAGCTTTGTTTAACAGGGTTTCTTCATATCCTGGAATACTTTATTGCCTGAATTGACGTTATTTTCTTGAGCACAGTCTAATACAGTATTTTACATCTTACATTAATTTTAAAAATGTATCTTGATTGATTGATTGATTGATCTGAAGTGTGTCGAGTGTCTTCTAAAATCCCCACAGTTCATTTTCTAATATCAGTGACTGTCACTGAAGAAATTCTAAATATTTTCTTTTCTCGTATCCTGGTTTAGATCTCTTAAAGGTCCTGATGCTGACTAGACATATTCAGTGAAATAAACCGCAGATGAGCTGTAGCGGCTCAGAGTTTGTAAGTCCTTAAATCAGGTTTAACAAAGTGATGATGAATAAATGTGTGTGTTCTGCTGTAGATCCTGAACGTCAGTGCTGTGGTCCTGGCCAACCTGTGTGTGTCCTACATCATGACCAGCCAGAATGAAGAGGTACTGTAAAGAGGTTAATGATGATGTGCTCATTTAGTTTCAAGTTTTGTCTGTAACTGTTGTCTCTCTTTGTGTCTCTGTATGGAGATAACTTTTACAGTGTTAATAAACATTCCTCTGACTCGTGTGGTTTCGTCATCACTCTCCGTTGAACTTCACAGTATAAATTTGAATCTTCTCTCCTGTTTCTTCTTCATGTCGTTCTGGTTCAACAGGCTGAGGAGTTGATGAGGAAGATTGAGAAAGAGGAGGAGCAGATTTCCTACGACGATCCCGATAAAAAGGTCTTCCACCTCTGCATCGTCAACCTGGTGATCGGGTAAGTTCCAGCTGCTGCTGCCTTTCACTCATCCTGCTGGAAAAACTGACGGAGGGCCTGATCACACAGGAGGCTTTTAGCAGCACAGGGTTCTGAATGGAACTGCGTTTTCTTAGTTCCTCGTGGGGGGTTTTTAAGCCTCATGAATTTCAAAGTATTTAAGTGTTCAAGTCAGTTTAACACTTTAACACGTATTGTTTGAGTATGTGACAAATAAACCTTTGAATCTTTGAAAAACTAAAACAAAAGAAAACAACCCAAAAAAAATCTGAGGTAAAATATTCTGAACTGAATGAAAAATTGAGCTTTTAACTATGTCCCACAGCCTTCATCAGCAAATGGACCTTATTATGGAAATTCAGTCATATGATAACAAGGAGTCATGTAGACCTGTTGAAGGTAGTTGATGAGTTTTTTGACTCTGTTGTGAAGTTGTGTTTCTCTTTCAGGACACTGTACTGTGCCAAGGGCAACTACGACTTTGGCATCTCTCGTGTTATCAAGAGCCTGGAGCCATACAATAAGAAGGTCGGCCATTTTATGTGCTTTTGGTTTTTTTTATAGAAAGTTTGTAGCAATCAGACACAGAAAGTGACTGGCTTTTATTTTTCAAGGGCTGCAGGGAGTATTTTGTTTATTTTGTTTTTGTTTCACAGGCTGAGGTATGGACACAATAATTTTAGTGTTAAAATGTGACAATTAAAAGACAAATACCAGTCACTGTCAATGTTGAATCCTCCTGAGTCCCGCAGGACTCTCTGGCCGAGGGTCTTCTCTGAGGCCGAGCTGCTCTTTTTGGGACTTTTTGATCTGGTCCAGTCACAACAGCAGACTCTGGCTGCAGCTGAGTCCACTAAACTCCAGCTGAGAACACAAGCCGTCATCCTGAGTGTTTCCCCTCTCATCCTCACAACAATCGCCACCACAGAGTCACATTCACAGGGAAAGTGGAGAGGAGCTCTGGAATGTAAAAGCCACAGTCATGCCAGTGTTTCACAACCTGATCATCATGTCTGAATTCTGGTTCCTTCACACACACAAGGTTTCACACGGGTGTCAGTGCCAAGCAACATCCTATGTTGTTAAACCATAACTGTGAAGGTTTAGAAAAACAAAGACACCAACAAGACTTCAGGCTTTTAGTGTTTTATTATGAACTATGACAAATACATGTTAGTAAAAAGTTAATGTGTGTGTGTGTGTGTGTCTGTGTTTGTGTGTGTAGCTGGGGACGGACACATGGTTCTACGCCAAGCGTTGTTTCCTCTCTCTGCTGGAGAACATGTCCAAACACATGGTCATGCTGAGGGACACTGTGGTACAGGAGTGTATTCAGTTCCTGGAGCACTGTGAGGGTGAGCAGCGGTCACGCACACACAAACACACACTTTCAAAAATGCTGGACCACTCCACCGCCAGTGTGACAAAAGGCTAAAATCCAAAAAAATATTTAATATCCTGTGTTTGAATTGACGGATTCAGTATCTCATGAATCCTGAATGCTGATGATGATGAACTCGGTGGCCCCCTGAGCTTTCCTCTAGCCCCCTCTTTGGCTCAGAATTTCTCCTTGGTGATCAACATTTTGTCCATACTTGTTTATTTTGAGATCTACTGGCCAGATTTTGATAAAAATTTGCACTGATATTCATGATCTTCAGAGGATGAATCCTGAAGATTATAGGGACTCCCTGACTTTTCCACTTTCTCCATAAGGTCGCCATAAGGATTTACATAACCCTAGGTTACAACAGTTGCTGCACATATATGGTGCATATATAGTTATTAGTTATTACTAAATATTCAAACCTACTAACTTCCAGGTCTAACTGTTACATAGTGAACTGAACTAGCTGACATAAATGAGTTTGTTCATTTATGATCTGTTTAGAGTGAAGAGTAAAGGAGGTAATTGGGAAGTCCAGACTACCCCTTAAACTACAGGTATTGTAAAATGAATACCACGAACTGTGAAACACACGTATTTCCACGTGTGTGCAAATATAAACAGAACAGAGTGATACCTGTATTTGCACAGGTTTACGAAGTAAAAAATTATTATTTACTTTTGGGAGTCTTGCTCTAGCTCGCGATAGCTAAAGGAACTCCACTGATTTTAACATTGCACTGCTTTAACATGGTCACACTCACAATACACAGTTTACAAAAAATCTGAGATACATATTTCCTCTTCCTTGTCAAAACCTGCTGTCTACATTACCCATAATGCAACTCAACCACAGGCAATTCAGTCAAAGATTTGAGTGCATTATGCTCGTAATGACTAATGTATCATGTCGTCCTCAGCAGAGATGAGCAGTGGGCTACAGAGGTCTGGTAAACTCACTTCTTTCTGACTCAACAACCCCAGATTTTTTTACTTTTCAAACTTGTCTTCAGACCCAAACAACATTGACTCAAGTGACACAAGGCTTTATACTAGTGTTTTCCATTAGCAGTAGTACTCTACATACACACATACACACACAAGTAAAACCAGTGGAATTCGCTCAGCCACTCAGGGGTTTAAAACTAACTAGGAGTTACTAAGAATTTAGGAAGAACTTTATATATTCATGAATGGCCTGTGCATCACAACCCATATTTAAAACATTTTCTGATCCTCATTGGATGAATCCTTTACATTTTAATGATGCCATGATCTTCCACTTATCACCACCATTGGATCAATCCATTCCAACACATTCAAACGTGGGTGTAATGAACACTGTGGCCTCTAGGAAACACTAGTGGGCCTTTAGTTGTTCAGTCTTGCTCTGGTCAAGTTGATGCTGATAATAATTCTGCTTGTCTGTAGTCTACGGGAAGGAGGTTCCAGCTATCATTGAGCAGCCTCTGGAGGAGGTCCGCATTCACATCGGCAAGAACACCGTCACCTACGAGGCTCGGCTTCTCAAGGCGCTGTTCTACGAGGTCATTGGCTGGAACAAGTGACATCATCACACGGGTGTCAGTGTAATGTCTGATCCCAAAAAACATCCTGACTGTCAATGTCTTCGACTTAAAGGATAATTAACATAAACCCAGAGACAATCAGACACACACACACACAAACACAGATTTACTGATGTATTTTAAATCAAACCAGCTGTGCAGTCATATATGTCTGAGAATTAAAACCATGTCCAGTCCCTGACATTTTCCCAGCTTTTGGACTTACTCCGTTCTTTGCTGATGCATTGAGTCGCGCCACTTGAGCACCACACACACATCGATCGACACGACACACGCACCATCCGACGAGCATCTAATCGCACAACAGCCTATCAGCGACACAGCACTGACGATCGACGACACAGCACCAGGGGAAGCTTTTATTTTGAATTTGAGTTGAGCTCGGGGAGGTTTGGCAGGAGGACAAAATCCCAGAGCTCCAACAGAATCTTATATAATCAGTTAGTGTTCTTTCTCTCATTGTGGCTGTTAAAGGAGGTCTGGTGCACCAGCGTCAGCTCCACTTTACACAGTCGTATAGCCAGTAACATAAAGAGAGATGATCTGCATTCATTATCAGAACTACTCAGTGAGTATAAAAAGGTTTGTAGACAGAGCAGATTTTCAGGCTTTGTTTTATTGGCTGTGTTTATTCTACTAACATGGAATACATGATAACAGCTTGTATGTAAGTTCATCTACATACATTCATGCTCATATTCTCTTTGGTGAGTGCTGGTTGTACAGCCGTGTTCATATTCCAGCCCTGTTCTGTGGTTTTATATTCAGCAGATAAAATGTTTGTGAAAAGTAAAATCATTTAAAGACAATAAAGATTATTATTTTTGGAAAAAGGTTAGTGTCCTGCGAAGTCTTTGCCTGTAGATAACAGCACATTTTAGATGTTTTTATTTAAAGCTACAGTAAATATTTCTTGGCCTATGAAACTGGGATGCTCCAATCAGGCTTTGAATGGCTGTTAACTGAGTGTTTCCTGTTCTTAAGCATTTTTGCAGAAAGACCCTGTAAGAACCACCAGTTTGTCTGAAGGGCATCAGTATGCTCCAGCAGAATTACTTGTCTCATGGTCAAACAGCACCTGAGACCCCCGGACTCCAGGACCCCACACCTTTCCACTTCATCCTTGTAACTTTCCAAAAACAGTTTGACTCACGCCCACTTTCTACAGTGACTGGTCGACTATGTGGAGTCCCCCCCCCCCATTCTTCACACCACTGCCATCACTTTTCACGTGAGCAGTGACTTTTGTGGCTTGAATGACTTTGACGAGACAGCTGTCTCACCTCTCTCCCTCCTATGCAAACTTTTTCACTCTGGATGATCACAGAGCAGCCTGAAACATCAAACTATATTACAGACACCTGAAAATCTCATTCAGACAGAAACTATCAACTTGGAAATGACATCACTGTTACTGTTGTCACGAGCTGTGTGCCAATTCAGGGGCCACATGCCTCAGAGGATGCAGTCTATGAAGGTGCGGCCCTTCGTAGCCGTCGTAGACCACGGAGGCTGAACCGAAATGAGACGGTCTGGCCTATGGAGGATTTTCGCTTTGCGTCACCAGCTGTGCCCGCTCAGCTCCTGTAGCCTAGCAACCCTGACCTTGAGGTTTTAAGGCCCTTGGTTTTAACAGTTGAACTGAGCTGAAACCCAAAACTTACATTTTGTGTAATCCTCAGGCTCTCTGTCCGTGTTGTTTGCTTTCATTACCGCCGCGCAATGAGTCTTGGGATAGGTGGCCCAGGAAAAGAAGGCCACATTAGAAGGAGCCTTCAAAATGGGATGTCCTAGTCACACCGCTGTGACGCAATCACTCTTCAAATGCAGCCTCTGAAGGATACCGCCTCTGAATTGGGACACAGCTACTATCTATCCCTCCGACTCAGCTGCACCTGGTGCATCACGAAAATGATTAAGTACTTGTGTGGCAAGAAGCAAAATCTGACTCGCTCTTAAAATATAAAACTGTGATAAATGCAAGAAAAAATTCTCCCAGACCCGAAAAAAACTGATTCTGAACTGTATGCGTTGAGTCATAGCAAACACCAATCACTAAACAGCAGCCTTAAGACACTACCTGTCTGACTGTATGTGGAGTCCATGTGGAGCTGGACAGAAACATGAACTGCCTCAGACATCTGTTTGATAAAGATCAGACATCCGTGATCAGCACTTTTCAATCAATCAGGTTGTTTATAATGAGTATCATCCAAATCATCAGCACTTTCTAAAGGCGTCTTGTTTGAGATTAATTACGTCCTCGGGAAGGAGTCAGGACATGGGAACATCTTCCTCATTATAATCATAGAATACAATGTGAAAAAAAAATTTCATCAAGTATTTCATCATCTTACCACTGTGTTCATAAAGCAACATATTGTGTCGGAGCTCAGTCTCTACCTGATGATCTACAATGATTTGCTCGCCTGAACGCACGCAGCCCCGGCTGCGTGGAAGCAGGGTGAGGAAGGGCGCGTTCAGGAGAGCGGCCTCTTCGTTATGTCCTGTTCTGTCAGGTAATAGTTCAGGTATCCTCCCAGAGCACCGACAGCCACTGCGGTCATGTGACTGGAGCAGCCATCTGTTAGGCGAGAAATGGCAGAGAGGAGAGAAGGGGATTTGAGGTGAAAAGGATCTGGTGCACCCCATTACAAGTTAAAGCTGTCAAATCAGCAGAAAAGATGTGATGCATCGTGTCAATATGGAGCAAAGTCTCAGAGGAAAGTTTCAACATCTGGTGGATCCATGACATGAAGAACTGAGGCTGCTTGAGCGCAGAGGAGGAACTAACCAGTGTTAGTGTGGTGTTCCTAATAAAGTGCTTGCTTAGTGTATGTTGGTGCAGTTTGGAACAGGCTGTTAACTACATTCCCCCTCAGCAAGGAGCAACATCTTGATGCACTGTCAAATACTTATATGAGTTGACCTGAATTATGGTCTGACCTGCGGTGAGAAACCATCTGCAACCATCTTTACATTGAACACAAGCTCTGTCACAACAGTGAACAGATCCAGACATGTCAGAATGTCTGACCTGGAAGTATCTTCTCCCTCCTCTTCACTCTCCTGTGAGGCTGCAGCTGCTCCAGCAGCTCGTCTCCAATGATCTGAGAGATGATGCTCTCTGAGGAAAGAACAGCAGAGAAAATCATGTTCATCCAGCCAGCCTTCCAACCATCCATCTATCCGTCCACCCATCCATCCATTCAGCCATCCATCCAACCATCCATCTATCCGTCCATCCATCCAAACAGCCAGCCTTCCATCCAACCATCCATCCATCCATTCAACTATCCGTCCATCCAGCCAGCCAGCCATCCATCCATGTTGACGCCTTCAGAGTAAAAAGTAAGAATTTTATATTTTTGGTTTGTGATGAAAGGAACATGGAACCTCAAATTTGTAAATCTCTAATGTGACTCATTTATGTAAAAATACATGTGATAAGATTTAGATACAACTTAGATCTAAACAGACAGAAAAGACTGAACCACTTCAGAACTGTGCATCAGTATAAACACAGTCTGAGAGTGAAGACGCAGGAGGAGCAGCACAAGTTATTTTTATAGGGTTACATGTAATTAGCGTTAAAGTCATTGTGGGTTAGCAGTGGAATTAACCCTCAGTATGAGAGAAACGGGTATAAATGTTCAAGTTTTTCAGTTAACATTAACACAAGATATTGAGCTTAAAAAATTAAACTATGAGATAATTATGATTTAGATTCAGTAGCATTCAAAGTTTTTATAACTGGTTTTAATCATTATAATTGTGTTCAAACACTCACTGTCTCTCCCGAAGCAGCCGACCTCCTCATCCTGCAGCCTGAGGATGTGCTGCAGCCAGTCAGCTTTGTAGAAGTCAGAGAAACCGGCCAGTCCACAAATCAGAACTGTCGACAGAGAGCAGAGGAGATCAACTCAGGCAGCAACAGATTCATTTTTCAAAACTGTTTCTGCTGAATATCCTGCTGGACCTCAGATTAAACCTTCAAGAATTGACTTTATTTTCAAAACAAAAAAAATGGGTGAGATAAATACAAATGTTAACAGTGCAGATTTCTGTGTGTAAGGAAAAAGACAGATTAAGACAGAACGTCTACAACAATAAAGCTGTTAAATATGTTAATATTTCTGTTGAAAACCACATATTTTTTCATGTTTTCTGGCTTTTGCATCATTTATTAGAGAAGATGAAGCTTCAGTCACCACTGTGAAAATATAATAAAATAGAAAGAAACTAAATATAAATAAAAACTAGAAAATTCCAGGGAAATTTTGAGTGCCACAGGGGCTACTGCCGGGATGAGTACATGATTTATTTCCAGTGTTCAAAAGTCACCCTGATCATATTCTGGTTTTGAGAAATGTCTTGATATAAAAGACTCTGATATAAAACAATGTCACATCCCTCCATCATGTATTATGTGGGAAATATCTCATATTCTGTGTTGTTTTTTTTAATAAAACAAGAGGCAACATGTCTTCAAACTGGCATTTAAAGGGTTAAAATCCTGAAAACTAATAAACATTTGGTAGGTTTGAGCAGAACTGAAGTGGTTTAAGAGATGTATGCAAAAAAAAGCAGAAAAAAATATTGATATATGATGATTTTATAGCATTTTCTTTGTGTCCTTTTTTGGACGCGAGGAACCCCAGAGGGTACAAAATGTGTTACCAGTGTATAATAGACCTGTAACAGTAACTGACATTAGATTTTAAAAATATGTCAAAAAAGACACTTTCTTGCAGAAATCCATACCTTCAGCTGTAACACAGCCAAAATGATCAGCGAATCAAAAAAGAAAAGTGAAGAAAATATCCAAAAAAGGACAGAGGGACCCCTGAGGGTTAATAAATCCCATGAACCGCTATTTAAATTACCACTATTATGTTTTTTTCAGTGCTAAATTTAACATTACTGGGGAGGAGAGCAACGCGACTAGAAGTGACAGCGAGAGAGGGCTAGTAGCTTCTCCTCTCCTCTGTCTCAGCGGAGACCGTCACAACTTCATTCACTCATTTAACAAAACAAAAAGAAAAGCAACAAAGGAAGCAGTAAATGGACTTACATATTTAAGACCTAACTAAATGTAATTTAAGACCTAACATGCGGCTAATGTAAAGCTAGCGGAGCTTGGAGAGTTGGTTATCTGGTTGCTAGGCACGCACACACGCACACAGGTCAGGAGCTGCCGTTGCCATGGCAATGTGAAAATCTGCCCAGAATTTGGCTTCTACATGGCTTAAAACAATTGCAAATTATGAGAAAACCGTTACTTCTTTTCAAAAACCGAAAACACCGTGACAGACACTGAAGCCAGAAGTTTCTTACAGTCTCTATTTTATTCAGATATTCCTTAAAATGAGTGAGTAAGCTCAGTGCGAAGACAGAGTGAGATTCTTTTGAAAAAAAAAAAGACGATTACATTAGGTGTCAATGAGAGTGAGACAGGTATTGCTGCCGGACTCGGCACCCCCGTTTAAATTTTGTGCAGACCCTGCCTGTCAAAGTTACATTTTATGAATCCCAACAACTATGTCTACATTTTCAGAAAGAATTATTTGTCTCCTTTTTACGGTTTGACTGTGAGCTCGAGTAAAAATAAAAATAAAGGTTATTTTTTACTGCTTCACGCACTCTAGCCAACTGACGCTGTCACTCTAACTTTGAAGAAAAAGTGATTTCCACTCCTCCTTTGAGTGCTCATAGTTTGAAAAGTTTACATGTTATGTAAAAACAGATGCTGTGTTTTGGAGAGAGCAGAAGGTTTCCTCCGTTTTATAGTTTGAATCACATTTCTACGTGCAGGTATGAGAGAGCTGGGTGACTCAGAAAAAAGGTGAAATTTTGTAGAAAAAAGGTGAAATTTTGTGGGTTTTTAAAGAAAATTCCAATGCATTCGTAATGCATTATTTATTCCCAGTATTTTGGGAATAACTTTGGGAAAAATTGGAATTTTAACACCAAAAGTCATAGTACCTCTTTCGGGATCAAGACGCATGTTTTGATGTATATATTACCAGGGTTTTCTCAAAGCTGCGGGACGAGTTACGCGCCAAAATTTGGCGGAAGAATAATAATAAGCCCGAGGCATTCCTCTCAGCTATTCTAGCTGTAGAGGAGTGCCTCGGAGCTGAGCCACCGTGGCACTAATAAAGGGAAATTCTACAGTTATGAGACTGGCGGGATGGGAGACACTCACTGTTTTCGATGAAGATGTCGACCGTCTGCTCGGTCAGACCGTCTTTGACGATGTCCTGGTTGGTCTTCATCATGTTGGAACAGAAGATCCTCTCGTAGTTTTGTTCAGTCATGTTGGCTCTGGACGCCCGTGTGTCGCCTTTCAGCAGGTTGGTGCAGCCTCTCTGAGAGGGAAACACAAACCAGTTAGAGTCTGACCTGCAGTCCAGGTAATAAACACCATGACAATTCTGCTAATTCCTGCTGAATTATAGGTAACTCTTTTTATCCTTGCATCTGCAGGTATGCAGGTCCCTTTCCTATTCCTATACTGTACAGCATGTTTTTACTGATGGAGCATTAAAGGTTGTGATTTCAGTCCAGCACTTTGCTCCAGACCAGGTTCTGTGAAATCTAGGTTCCGAATGAATTCCAATTATTTCTATTACCTCCTTATTTTGTCATTTGGCATTTACCATTTGAAAAGAAAATTGCACTTGTACACAGGGAATATCAAAATCTAATACTGGAAGGCTCTTGTTTTCAACTTAGTTTTAAATATGATTTAGAGGATCTTAGGATATTCAATATTTTTTTAGTACTAAGAAATCTCATACAAAACCAAACCAACAGCTCAGCTCCAAACAAACTGGTTCCTACTGAAGACGGAAATCTTTCAAAACACTTCACAACCATATGGTTTTATTTAGGGAAAAAAGACTTAATTTCCTAAATCAGCTGCTCACTTTAGTTTTAATCAAACAAACCGCAATATATAAAGGATTAGTTGGGGACTACTTCCAGTGGCAGATTAATCCACATTTGCTGCTCTAGTGAGTATTTGGGGCAGCAGGACAATGTGAGTCCAAATAAGAAATATGTTTTCCTAAAGGTTTTTCAGTGGGTGAATAAGTTTGGATGATTTGTTGCACATCTCACCATTTTTCCGATCATGAAGTAGAGCAGCTGGTGGGACAGAGAGTAGTGTGGACAACCAAACTGAGTCATGGTGTCCCGACACGGCTTGGTGACGATGCAGGGCGTCCCGTTCATCTTCCTGATAAGTAGAAAAACGGCAGCAACTCTTTACTTAAAATTAAAATTATTATTTTCTGATCTGCCTCCTCTCCGGTTAAGGTCTGGTTAAGATTAGTTAACTAAAACATCTGATCAAGGTTAGTTAAAGATTGTGGTCATGATCAAAAGAAATAAACTGTGAGCAGACGGGATATGAACCCTCCTGAGTTAAAGTCACACCCCCTCTCCATGAGATTTCCCATGCTACAGTGTGTGTTGTGTGTTCATACCAGGTTCCCAGCAGCAGGGTCAGACACTTGTCACTGAGCTGCTCGTCATAACACTCGGTGGCCATGGTGGAGGGATAGACCAAGCTGGGGTCTGTGGAGCTCCACTCCTGAGGAATCAACCAGAAGCTCCAGGACAGCAGCGGCTCAAACTCTGCACAACACAAACGAGTGAAAGAACGAGAGAAACTGGGTTGGATCAAGTGAAGCTCTTCTTTGTGTACTTTTTCCACTGCAGCTGACATCATACCACAGGGTTTCTGGGAGATCCTTCTGCGGCCGTGAAAGTCTCACCTCTGTAGTATTTGGGGTCGTTCTGCTGCAGGGCGGCGACGGCCTTGTCGAAGCTCTGGTCGAGACGCCTGACAAGAGCGACGGCGGAGGTTCTCTGAGCCCAGCTGACCGGGTCGGTGTGAGGCCACGTCCGAACCGCTTCCTTCAGTTCAGCTGAGACACAAAACAGAAAACTTAGAAGAAGAATCAGCGGCAAAACACGTTATTCAGACAAATGTTACTCGGGAAGTTTACATACAAATGCCAGCTACGTTCAATTTAAAAACACTCAACACTCAACAGTAGCTGACATTGAGGTAACGCACACAGAAATAACTATTGGATGGAAGCTTCCATGAACTCAGATTCCTGTTCCCCAGAGGATGAATCCTAGTTCCGCTGGAGACCCCAAATTCATGTGTCCCTATTTAGCACCCTTAGCTCATTGTACTCTCGCTACCAGGCTCTGTTCGTGGTTGAATGTAAACAACAACGGCGACGATGTGACAGAACTCCCTTGGTACAGGTCTAGGACCAACTGCCAACAGTTCAATTTCCCACCAGCATATCCTCTCCTTCACTGTGATGCGACCGGTGTTGAACCATCCATTGTTCACAAGCAGAACCAGTCCTCCACCTTTATTCTTCCCGCTTTCTCTGGCGTCTCTGTCCGCTCGTACTGCAGTGAAGCCGGGTTAATCCACACAATGAAAAACCAGGTCCCCGTGAAACACATGAGACTATGATGACTATGACTCACGATGTGCTCGCTGGTTCTTCACAAGTGCCTCCAGTTCATCACACTTGTTAGCCAGGTATAAAGGCTTATATCTCCATCTCCTAGCCTTTAGCTTAGCCCCGGCTCTGCATCCACGGTACTTCTTCAGCTCAGCCGGTATGGGATGTTTAACTCCATCTCTGGTTCACTTTAAAGCCAGGAGTTCTTCCTTTCTGGACATTATTTTCTCGACGTAGAGTAAAAAAAACGTCACTCGACAAAAAATATACTAATAAATACAAATATATTGCAAAAAAAACTAAGCGTTAAGCAGACCTGCTGCCACTTGTTGCCAGCGCATCATTTGAGTGTATATAATGCTAAAATAGTGTCGGCCCGATATAATCACATCATTATTATTATAGTGACTCCCTGATGGAAAATCATACATATATATCCAACATTAACATTCAAACTAAATTACATAAATGATGAAAACAGAGAAAACAGCGCTGAGAGTCGCAAGCCTATGTGCCTATGAGCGTGTCTATGATTGCTGCAATATGTGTACGCACGCACGCACGTATGCGTGAGGACGTTGCAGCTGTGAAGTAGCCACGTCAGATTCTAGATTGCTCATTCAATTTGCCTTTGATCAGCTGTATTTCAAAGACACATGTATGTGATGTAAACTTACAGTTTTCCTGCTTGCTGATCATTGTACTGAAGACCTCACCAGAGACACACACCTCTATCTGAGCTCCCAGTTTCAACACACGAATTATTCCCTGATGGAGAACAATTCACCTCAAGGCTCAGCTGCTCCTGTTCTTGGAGCTGCCGTCCCCAACATGTCAACTGCTCGTCCCAGTGGGTTCCCTTCCTTCCCCCGTGGTGTAAGACGGATCCTCGTCCAGCCGAGCACTTCTACAGTCATCATGGAGTTACCAAGGGAAGAGTTTGACTCTCCTGCCTCCAGCTGTGAAGCCACAGCAGAGCCAAGACTCCCAGAAGAGGATATAGAGACCATAGACCTCGCCCAAGAGGACAACAAGATCTCCATGAAGACACCAGAGAAGATCACCAACTCTGCTGACTCTCCTTCCTCCGGCTTTCAAGCCATCGCCGAGACCATCCACAAGACCAAGCTGTTTGTCGCCCTGCTGACCATGAGACTGCTGACCAAGTGCCGTGTTCTCGACATCTGCACGGAGGAGCAATTGGCCACCTACGCCAAACACCTGGTGGACCAAACGCTGCAGGGACTCACTGTGAGTGACGGTTTCTGCCCCAGCGACAAAGACATCAAACACATCTGCAGGGCCATCATCAAAGATCTCACTAAGAAGCTTGGCGGGAAGACCTCACTTAAGTTTGCAATCCTGTCAGAACAACCATGTGTGGAAGCAGTGATCATCAAGTCTTTACAAGCCCACATCTCCAAGCACTCGACTGTGTCTGCAAACAAGAGGAAGACATCTGCATGGAGGGAAAACTTCTGGCCCGTCATGAGCGTCATCGCTATTTGTGGCTTGTGGTCCGTCTTGGCCATAGTCTTATTATAAACTTCTGAAGGTGGCACGGTGGTAAAGCGGCTAGCACTGTTGCCTCACTGCCTGTGTCAACGGGACAGGCTAATGCTGGTGAACAGCCCTGGCCTGTCTCCTATCACAAGTTTATACTGTGCCACACAGGGGGGAACTGGGCTCACTGGTGGTTCTGACCTCGTTACTGAAGCCAGGACCACCACTGGACCCTGTTCCTCCCTGTCCTGGCGTGGGTTTCCTCCGGGTGCTCCGGTTTCTCCCACACTCTAATTCAAACTCTAATTTGGACAATAAAATCATTCAATTAGATACTTTTGATTCCTGAATGATCTTCTTCTTAAATATAATAATATGACATATACGTGACATGACATATATAATATTTCCTAATCATATTTTTCCATGTTGCAGTATGAATGTAACTTATTTTAAATCTTAATCTGCAAAAACATTTTTTTTAACTCATTTAAATTAAGAAGTAAAGCACAAAATGTGTAAGGAAAATCTTAACTTCAGGTGTTTGTGCAATGGTTCAACTGACTTTAAGTGATTTCTTAAATATAAGACCAAGATAAGGAGAAAAGCTAAAATAGTGAGTATTTAAAGGAAACCTGAAGGTGTTTTGTGTAACTGTTTTTACTGTTTTGCTATTATTTTGGTAAGTCTGCCAATAGTAACTAACAGACTGGTCATTTCAGAACAATACTTTACTTTAATAACAAAATATGAGCATTTAAAAAAAGTGTTAACTGGTGATAAAAATTTGTGTTAGCAATAAAATGAAAGATGTTTACCATTTTGCATCAGACATATCCAGTAAAATAAAACAAGATGTTTAGATCTGATATTCAATATTCTAGGAAACGTCCATTTACACTAAAATGTTCATTTAAATGAGAAACACTGAGAAAACAGTGACATTTCTATTGTTCTGGCATCATTTATAAAGGCTGTATGAGCTGTAATTAATGACTATGAATGGCTAATAAATCATTTACTGATGCTTTGTAGATCAGTTATAAGGCATTAATAACAATGTTTGTGCTGCCAGGTTGTGGAAAACCCTCCTCCTGCAGACACTTTGTCTTTTAATCTCTGTAATTCATATCGTTTGACCACTGATCTTCTGGAAAACAGCTGCAGAACATCTGGACCAGAATCCAACATTTTAAGCAAAAATGTAAAATCTTTGCTGTTTCTAGCTTCTCAAACATGACAATTAGTTGCTTTTCTGTGTCAAACATATCTGTAGACTATCTTTGAGTTCTGGACTGTCGGGTTCTTTGCTTGTAGGAAATTATAACAGACCTTTTTTTTTTACTATTTGCTGGCAATTTATAGACAAAACTTGAAAAATAATATTGCTGATAATAGTTGCAGCACTAATTAATAGGCCTATGTGTTTGGCATGTTTAACTTTTGCTAAGGGCTCATTACAAACTGGAAAACATATGATAATTTCATACAGACTTATTAACATGTATAACTGCAAACTTGGTGGCTAGGAGGGGTCTCACTAATGAATTTAAGTGCTTGCAAAGTGTCATGCTGGAGGGGGATTTTTCCACAATCTGGCAACTCAAACGTTGTTGTTATTAATAGCTAATAGTTGTAATTAATAACTGATCAGTAAATCATTAAGAACCATAATAAAGCCACTGATTACAGCTTACAAGCGCTTTATAGATGGTGTTTTATCAGAACACGGTGTCATACAAGGCTTGAGTAAATGTACTTAATTATTTACCAATGTAGCTTTTCTTTGACTAATGGTATCAGAAAATAAAATCATTGTCCTACTTCAACTGACCCACCCTGACAAACAAACTGCAGATATATTCCAGATGTTTCATGCAGCTGAGAGCACACGTCAGTTTCCAATGAGGTGCCTCGTCCTGCAGCTGCAGCGAGTTGTTTACCTACCCTGCAGCATGAGGAACCCGACCACCCCGTCCAGGTTGATGTGCTCATGTTGCCGCTCCAGGAAGGATGCTCCCCTGGAGAGGCTGCTCAGGACGTCATCGATCACCTCCGCCCGTGACCCGGACACTGCGGCAAACAGAGCCAGCACCGCGGCCAGCTGGAGCCTCGCTGCCCGCATCTTCTCACTCGGATAAATCCAGTCTAGAGGCTCCGGGACAGTTTTCTCCGACAGAAACAGGAGCAGCGAGAGGAGCGGGGAGGACGGGCTGTCTCTCCTCTAACCGGGGGGAGGAAAAGTGAGGAGGCTGGGGGAGGAAACAGATGTGACGTCAGATGGGCTCTTATTAGGAAATCAAAACTTGAGATAGTGAAGTTGAGAGAGTAACACTGTTATTTTTGCTCTACTACATTTTTACAACTGTAGTCACTCGTCATCTTTCAGATTAAGATTTTGTCACATATAATAATATATCAGTCACAATGGGATTTTTGAAGAGAAATAGTCTTAATTTAATTTTTAAAATCACTTATTTATTTCTCTTTGGTCTATTTGTTCATGGATTAGTTCATCTGTAAAATATTATATTAAGTCCTGTTTTCTTGACCAGTTACAAACAAATGAATGGAATGGTTTGAATGGTTGAATGCTTTGTCCATAACCCCCATGGTCCTCCATACTCATGGACTTTTTGAGCCTTTTATGCAGTTTTTTCCAGTATGGAAAGTAAATAAATAACACTGTGATGATAGGAGAAGTCTTGTTTTTGGCATAAGTCATGCCAGACAAAAGACATAATCACGGAAATGAACAGGAAACACTGTGTTTCTCTTTTTTTAATCTGATGAAAGGAATGGTGAAACTTTTGATTTCATCAGAGGGTCTATAGGTCAAGAGGGTCTATATCCCAATTCTACTCGACATGGAAGCCCTTTGTGGAGGGGCTAGATTTCATGAATTTCCCCTAGGGGATAAATTAAGTATTGATAGATCTATGTTCTTCTATCCTCTTTTCCCTTTTAAATCACTATTATTATTTTAATATAAAATTCTTTTTCTCTCTTTTTTCCATCTTTTTCTTTTTTTTCCATTCCAGTGTAACCTGCATTATTTCAAACAACGTGCCAAACCAGGGGTTTTGACATGTTGAATTTATGAGTCCACTGCTTGTCACATAAAATGTCTTGTTTATACATGAAATTGAAAATAAATCTTGTTAAAAAAAAGTTGTGTTTTATCAGATTGCTTCTGTTTTTCTGTGAGCTGACTAATTACACAGAAACATGGGGGCAAGATAGTATTACTCCATCAAAGGATGACTGTAAGGCTGCAAACAACAGTCACTGTAATTATCAATACCTCTGACAATTACTATCTGTAATTACTTACTGTAATAATCACTTGATTGTTCAGAGAACAAAATGTCAGAAAATAGTGATAACTGCCCACCACTGGTCCCAGTGCCTTGGTATGTCTGACCACCTGTCAAAAATACAAAGATGTTGCGTTTACACTCACAGAGGACAAAGGAAAATAGTGAAAATTCACATTTGAGAAGCTGGACCAAGTGAGTTTTTGGGTTCTCCTTGAAAAAACTTATATCATTGATCAGTTATCAAACTTGTTGTGATTTTATTTTCTGTCAGTCAACTAGTGTTTCAGCTTATCATTTTAGCTCCATAGTAATAGTGAGACAGTAAAACTGCCATGTACAGTGGGGGTCAGAAGGGCCCCGCTACAAGGTAAATGCAACGATACTTTTTCATTTGTTGGACCTGAACGCATCATCAAGTCCGCAGTCCCTTTAAATCTGAAGCCACTCCCCTCCATTGAGCCACGTCATCACCAATTACAAACAAACATGGCGTCGCACGGCACCGGCACGGCTTGTCTGACGGTTTTGATGCTAATTGCTGCGCTTCTAACTGCGTTTTGTGTAACAGGATCAAATGCAACATGTCTGGTTGTATGTCTGGCTGTTATTACTGTGCTGGCTTCGCTGTGGTTGTGGAGGTTGCGGCGGAGGGACGGTGGGACCGAGCGGCGGGTGTGTGTGCTGGTGCTCGGGGACATCGGTCGCAGTCCTCGGATGCAGTATCACGCCTTGTCCCTTAGCAAACACGGATTTAATGTCACTTTTGTTGGGTTTTTAGGTGAGACTGCCTCACACGACAACAAGAGTGTCATACTGTCCATCATCCATTACCTGCTGCCCTCATAACAAGATGTCAGTTAGCTCAAAAACACTGAACCTGAGGCTGTTACTGTTGACAGCGTCGAAGTAGAGAAACTCATGTGAAAGTGATGGATATGGTCTCTGACATATTTTTTTCATTTCAGACACTAAACCTCATCAAGGCGTGCTGAGAGAGGAGAACATCAGGATAGTCCCCATAGCAGAGGTGAAAGGTGTTCGAGGTAACTAGCATCATGGTAGCGGTGATTCTGTATTTCTGTGATTCTTCTCAGTGGATTATTCTGCAGTTTTCACAAAGTGCTGTTTTTCTCAGTGGGACCAAAACTCCTCACATATGTGACGAAGGTGATCATTCAGTGTCTACAGCTGCTCTCTGTGCTGCTGAGGGTGGAGCCACAGTCTCATCTTCTAATGCAGGTTTGTTACATCCTGGTCTGGATTCAGGATTAAAGTTGAAGAACTGTGATGAATATATTTCCATAGATTCAATGGCAGGTCTGTAGATTAATGGACCTTCCAGTGAAGCAGCCCTGCTCCTCACCATTCTTTCCTCTTTTAAAATCTATGTCTGATTAACATAGTCTACAGGGGACACCTTTTTCTTGGCTGCGTTATAGACTTCATGATTTCTTGAATTCACTTCCACTGTAAGCAGTTTTACAGAACTGTATGTACTGCTCTGCTTTTATAAATTCAATGTAATCCACTCATTTGGATGTCTCTGTGATAATGTTAATGATTGTGTTTGCATCCCAGAATCCCCCTGGTCTGCCCAGTATCGCAGTAGCCTGGTTCGTGTGCGTCCTGCGGGGCAGCAGATTCGTCATCGACTGGCACAACTACGGCTACACCATCATGGCCCTGAGTCACGGCCAGAGACACCCGGTGGTCCGACTGGCTAAGTGGTCAGTACTGCTGCAGCTGATGGTTCACTGAACTTTTTGGAGAATATTAATGGTGGCGACACAAGTCAACATCATCTGTGGAGGCTAATATTTATTATGACTGTTATGTTGAGTTATCTTAAGACTGTGCTGCTCAGGCTTTGTGTTTATATGTGTTATTTGATTCCTGGGTTTGTAATGTGCTTATACAACTGACTCTTTACTTTCTGACAGTGACATGGTTCAGGTGTTTTTCATTTTTGTCTCCTTCCAGGTATGAGCACTTCTTCGGCCCCCTGGCGACTCACAACCTGTGTGTCACCAACGCGATGAAGGACGACTTGCAGAAAAACTGGGGCATCAGGTATGATTTGGCCACTTATGTCCCTAAATTGAAATAATACTTAGGGCAAATACTACACAATAAACATGGTAAACATTACCGTAGTTACTTAAAAGTAGCAATAATCATTTTAACAAACATTCATCATTGCTTGGATTAGTGCCATAGTATCATTTAACTAATCTGTTCATCATCAAAAGTAATGAAACCCGTCACCTTGATCTCCTGTCAGACAGAACGCTTCACAGCACACACCGATGGAACATTGTAAATAGTTATTTTTGAAACAGTATCAACAGTAATTATGATAAGAAGACTTTATTTATACAGTACATTTCACACAAAAAAAGCAAAACATTGTGCTTCAGAAAAGATGAAAAAACACATAATAGAATAGATGGAAGAAACAAGGACAATGAAAAAGAAGAAAGGATTTTTCTTAAAAAAAAAAAAGACAAAACAAAGTGATTTAAAAACAAATATAACTGACAGTAAATAAATGATGATTAATTCAGTAGTCCAGGTTAAAATACAGTATAAGTAAAGCGGTTATGACTACAGCACCTTCATCTGTTGGGGCACCTTGGTCTGGACTAAAGGGGCGCAGGGACACACTGAGACTGACAAAAATGAATGAATCTTGGAGTAAAAACACGAGCGGGTCGATAAAAGTCTCAACATTCTTTATTACCTGTATTTTATAAATAGTTTTGTATAGATAGACACTGTTGACTGTCTGACCTTTGCAGGGCGACGACTCTGTACGACAGACCAGCCGCCATCTTCAGAGAGACTCCACTGAAGCTGCAGCACGAGCTCTTCATGAGACTGGCCAACACTTATCCTCAGTTCCAGCACAGAGGGTGAGAGCTTAGTGAAAACACCACAAGCGCCTTTCACGTCCGTCTGTAAAAGTGTCGTCAAGGCATTTTGTTATGGAAACATTTCAGTCACAAGCTGCCCTGTAACAAAAGCACTAAAAATAAGTGCTGGCTTGACTGAGCTGTTGTGTGTTTTCAGTTCTGAGGAAAAGGAGGTAAAGGTGGAGAGGACGATCTTCACAGTTCGTGACCTCGCTGATGACTCGGTGACCTTGACGATGGAGCGACCGGCGCTGCTGCTCAGCAGCACCAGCTGGACAGGTCTGAGGAAGAACTGAATAACAGCCTTTTTTTTTTTTTTCTTTCCAAACCAGATTTTTATTTTACTTTTTATTGTTACACTCTTTGCCTAATTCCCAAAGTAAAACATCCTGTTGAGTTCTTCCTAAAGACAAACACTTTCTGCTGGGGTAAATGGAGCTGAGTGGTTGGATGAAGTTCCTCGGTCGGCCATTTTTTAAATTATGAAAATTCTTGATTTACCCAGAATTCATTGTAGCACAGTCCGGCTGAAGATAGTCGAGAACTAAACTGCTTTGTGCAACAGGTGAATTCAGACGTCTGTCTGAAGTCTGACTGTCAGCTGTCTGTATTCAGCTGTTTATAATCAAACACATTTACTTTGTGTCCACAGAGGATGAAGATTTCTCCATCCTCCTGGAGGCTCTTAAAGGTACGACAGGTGTAGACTGCTGCTCTTTACCTTATGTTACACATGGAGCCTAGAATACATGACTGTATGTTTCAGCAGCTCACAGCTCACAGCTGTTTGTTCTCAACAGAGTACGAAGGTTTCATTAAAGAGGGAGCTTCGTTACCACCTCTAGTCTGTGCGATCACAGGTAAACAGCCTCACGGTCCGTCCAAGTGTCTGACGTCAAAGTGCTTTCAGTTTTTTTATTTTTGTGTGTGTGCGCGTGCGCGTGTGTGTGTGCAGGTAAAGGCCCTCAGAAAGAACACTACAGGAAGCTGATAGACTCTCTGCAGTTGGAGCATGTGGAGATCTGCACTCCGTGGCTGGAGGCAGAAGATTATCCTGTGCTATTAGGTAATACTGACACAAACATGACATATGATACTTCCTGTGTTTGTCTTCAGGCCCTGTCACACGTGCACCCCTTTGTGAATCTGATGTCAGTCAGAACGAAGTCTGACAGGGTTCAACACAGTGATTATCTTGTTCACCTTATTAGGGGCTTATTAGTGTATTTATCAAATTTGTCACTCAGGTATCATCTCTGAAAACCAGTTTAACAAACCATGAATGAATCAGTTTGAAGTTGCTTCTTACGTCAGATTAATCTGTAAAAAACAACTTTCTTCTTACAAAAGAGGCAAAAAATCCCTGAACAGCCATTATAATGATCAGACCTGCACTCGCTCCCTGGGGTCCATTTTTCATTTATACCAACTGTATGAAATTATGGATCCAACAAAACACTTGACACACAACATGTGAGCAAATAGGGATTAAATCAGCCCCAGCCTAATGCCTTTTATAGTCTGTGCAGTTCTAGATACAACAATAAAAACACCAGAATCTAATATATGATAAAAAAAAATTTAAAAAATGTGAAAAAAATATATACTGTATAAGTGTAAAATAATTACGTGGTCACTAGTGATTGCACTCGGTGGTCAATAATTAGGGCTTCAAGAACAAAATAAGTTTTTTTTACCCCTGGACTGATGCAGCCTGAGAGAACAGAAAACATATCTTTGCTTTTCATCTTATATTGTAATAAACTCCTCTGTATGAGCCATCTATAGCCAACTATGTGCTGTTTACACTGCTGCCTCAAAATGTAGAAAAGTCTGTGAAGTCAGTTTTATTTTGACCTCTTCAATCAGACTCAGGATCTTCTGTCCTCCAGGTTCAGCAGACCTGGGCGTGTGTCTCCACAAGTCCTCCAGCGGTCTGGACCTGCCCATGAAGGTGGTGGACATGTTCGGCTGCTGTCTGCCCGTCTGTGCCATCCACTTCGACTGGTGAGCGCCGTACAGTGAGGGAGGAGGGGGGGGCTTTTAATGGATGTCTGGTTTAGATTTTACATGTACAAATACACACGGATTGAACTGAACCAGACACACTGATGTGATTTGCTTAGTTGATGTTGTTTGGTCCAATTCTGGCTCATTTGGAAACGTGTAGAGAAAATAGTTATTTTTCTGGCCCAGTTTTCAGGAAGAACCTCATGAAGAGAAATCAGTTCACTTCCCTCAGAAAACAAAGGGATTCATATCCTGTCACATATTATTAATGAGAACACTCTGAGATGTGTTCAAGATATAAAATATAAAAAAAAAAAAAATTCTATTTGTGTCGTCATAGATCTATTGAATCCTTTCAAATTCACCTAATGACTGAATCATGATGAATATTTGTCCAGATGTAGGTGTCATATGTACGGTATATATTTATATAAGAGGCTGAATCTGATATTTCAGAAATTACAAATCCATCTCAGAATTGTCATCATGCATTTAGCCAAAAGAATCAGAAGAACTCAACATTAAACTGAAAGGATCAGACAAACAGTCCGACTCAGTCTCTGTTCAGAGACAGATCAGTGTGGCTGCAGCCAGAAGATTTCCAGGTCATATCCTCCCATGAGTCCTCCTGACTTTCTCAGAACAAACTGGACACCAGAAAGAAAACTTTAAATGAACGGGTGAAGCTGAAGTGTGTGACTTGGTGTTTTGTTCTCTTCAGTTTACAGGAGCTGGTGAAACACGAGGAGAACGGTCTGATCTTCCGAGACTCTCGGGAGCTCGCTGAGCAGCTCAAGGTGAGAGCTCCACGCCTGTGCTGTGATCTTAATAAAGTGCATGTGACATTGAACATGTGACAAGTAATTTATGTCTATGATGATACAAGTAAGAAATCTGGGTGAATATCATAGAAGTTTCTAAAAGGCCACCGTTGTTTTCTTTTGATCATTTAACAGCTCCACAGAATCTCTGATTTCACTGCTTCTTTATAAAAGACTAGTGTTGATCTGTTTCGGCGTTTGTGTGTTTCCAGTCTCTCCTGTCAGAGTTTCCCAGCTCAGAAGGCAGACTGGGATTGTTCAGGAGGAACCTCCGCACCAGCAGAGGGCAGCGCTGGGACGACAACTGGGACCAGAACGTCCTGCCTCTCATCACTGCTCCCAGATAAAAAAAAAAAAAAAAACATTCAGATTTTTAAGCATCAACACCAAAAAGTTCAAATTAGAATACATTAGAAATTTTCTGCCTTAACTTCATTCTTGGCAGTGAAGTGTCATTCTTCTGAACAGGGGGATGAAGGGAAGTCCTGTTAGAATATCTGGAACAGCTTTGTGTTGCGTGAAGGTAGAGGATTCTGTCAGAGCAGTTGATGATGATTCTTACTGGGAATTCTCACTTGAATTCCACTTTTTAGTTTTTCTACAGAGCACTTGAATGTATAAAAGACTTTGATACGATGTACATTTGTAAATAAAATCTTTATTGTGTGACAGTGGAGTCATCTGTACAGTTTAATCATCTCTATGGAGGAGAGTCTATTGTAGGGAAACACGTGGCTGACGGGTCCTGTGATCACGTCATGGCTGATTCCTGCGTTTCCTGTCGCAACAAACACAATCAGTCAATTCATTAAGTCACAAAACAAACAAGTTAACAGCAACCAGGAGGAAGTAATGAGTAATAAATCAGTTCACTAAGGCTGCGGTTGCATTTACTGACACAAGAACAGAACTGAACAGAATGAAACTTAATTGAAGGTGGAAAATTGTATTTGGCCAGTTTAATTAAAACTAGAAACAAATTCTGCTTTTATTCCACAGGTAAGATATATCATGAATAAAGACATATCCTCCATATTTTTCACCCTGAATGTAGCATTATGGCTCTTTGTGTTTTTAAATAGATGTTGTACTGTATTGGAGGTCTGTGGATTACCAGTGAGATTAGTTATTAGATAATGAACAAAATGTATTTACATTCAATAATGTGGTACCACTTTACAATAAAACTACCCGTATAAAGGATTTATAAATGGTTTATAAATAGGTTATTTATTCAGTTGTTAACACTATATTATTATAAATCATTAATAAACAGGTTATAACAGTTTTCACACATCGATGCAGGCTCACTATTTGGCAAGATCAAGTTAATGCTTAATGTTACTAATGAGTTACTACCATTTATAACTGGTAAAATGAGCCTCATTATAGTAGCATTGGAGGATGAATTGTTAGTAACAAATGAAAAGAAGCAGCAGGTACAAACGCTGGATGATGGAGAAAACAAAGAATTCTCAGTAGCTAATAGATATGAGGGGTAACAGTACAGAGAAATGTGGGCTCACTATGCGGCAAACAACAGGTCACTGTTGCCCTTGTTATCTAATGTGTTATAACAGCATATAAATGATTTATAAAGTGTTAACAAACTAATTAATAAACTATGTTATAGACCACTCATCAGTCCTGTATAAGGTTAGTCTTATAGTGAAGTGGTACCTATAATGCTTTAAAAATACTTTCTACTTTCCTACTCGACGCACAGCATCTTCCCCCTTTTTCAATATGATGACATCACAACGGGGTCTAATCGCCAAAGACTCTTCACCTCTTATTCCTCTGTTTTGCACATGGCAATAAAGTTTTTTGCTACTCTAATATTCTGAGTCTCTCCTGATTGAAATATAAATAAACAGGGTCTACACATATTGGAAATAGCCGCCATGTTAACGTTTTTAAATTTTGATGCAAACTCTTTGAGTGTCCTGCTGCAGTTGTTTGTTTGTCACTGAGTCAGAAGCTGCTCATGGTTTCAGTCTGTTCAGGAGAATAAAAATAAATCAACATCAACCTTCTCCAACATTTTAGACTTCAAAAGAATCTTCAGACTCATTTGAGAGAACAACTGATTTTACTCTGACAGATGTTTGTGCAGCTGGACCCAGATGTCACCTCCACGTCTGAAAGAACAAACCCTCTCTCACCCAGCTGCTGCTTGAAGCCGCTGTAAGTCTCCGGGTTCCTTATGGTGGAGCAGATGAGGACTTCAGGAGAGGAGGAACACCTCAGGATCCTGGACAGCAGCTTCACCAGACTTCCCACGACGTCGGGGTCATACACCACATCTGGAACACAGGGATTTCACATCTGGGTGGTTTCGTTCTGCACCTTCCGTTCTGATGGCCTGATGGATGTGCAGGACTCATATTCAACGGAGCAGCTGTTTCTGCTACTTTATCCCCACGCTCTGCTGCTATTAGACAGGAAATAAAGACTGAACTCTGACCTGCAGCGATGACGGTGTCAGCCCCGATCTCTTTTAACTGCTCCTCCGTCACCCCCGTCCAGTCCAGCTCCTCCACTCTGACCGTGGGACTCGTCTGCTCGCTCAGCCCGTTCAGCTGGACGTTGGCTCTGAGTTTCTGCAGGACGCTGGGGTGACAGTCGCTGAAGACAAATCTGTTCGGGCTGCAGGAGCGACAGACGGTGATACCGGTCAACCCCACGCCGCTGCCCAGCTCCAGCACCGTCCTGCAGACAGGAGGAGGAGGAGGAGAGATCCCCAGCCCCCGATAAAGTTAAACAACACAGTCATATGAAAGAGAGGTTTGAATCTTGGGGGGAGGGGATTCAGTTTTGACATTTTCTGTCAAACTTTCTGTCAAAACAGACATGAGATGACTGTTTTTGTGCTAATTTTCATCATCTCTGCAACACAAAAATATAACATTATATATATATATATATGTATGTTATATTTTTGTTCCCTTTGGACAGAGCGAGGCTAGCTGTTTCCCCCTACTTCCACTCTTTATGCTAGGCTAAGCTAAGCGGCTGTTGGCTTTAGCTTCATAATTAAAGCACGGACTTGTGAGTGGTGTCGATCTTCTCATCTTACTGTCGAAAAAAAAAAAGCAAATGTCAGACTCTTCCTTTGCTGTTGGGGGTGGTGGTACCTGCCGGTGAAGGCCTGCTTGTGATCCAGGGCCCACTCAGCCAGGTAGAGCGCGGCCTCCCAGGTCACCAGACCAGTGGTTCCCTCTGAGATCAGAGCGACGTTTTCCAACAGACTCACAGCGTCACCACAGGGCTGCAGGACACAAACCCAGATGTTACTGACAGCAGTGATGTGGGATTGTTATAAATGTTTATATTGTATTAATGACATTAGAGAGTAATAATAATAATAATCTTCATTTATAGAGCACTTTTAAACTAGAATTACTGCCTCATGGTTGTCTGCCTCCGCCACTCGGACTAGTTTCAGGTTCCATCCCTGTTTATCCAGAGTCATATACAATATGAACCATTTGTGTGAAATTTTGTTATAATTTCCGTATGAAGTCTTGAGTTATGGCTAAAAAGTGTTTTCTGAGGTCACACTGACCTTTGACCTTTGAACACCAAAATCTCATCGATTCATCCTTACGTCCAAGTGAATGTTTGTGCCAAATTTGAAGAGATTCCCTTGAGGAGTTCTGGAGATATCGCATTCATAAGGCCAAAATCCAGTTCTTTTAGGTCACTGTGACATCACATCGTAGTTTATTTTGACTCAGTCCCACACACACCGTCCTGCTGGCCCCAAATACTAAGTACAGCACCAAATCTGGATTAATCCACCACTGAAAAAATAGTCCCCCAACAAATGCTTTATGTATTTGCTCCCGTTTGTTTGATAGAAACTACAGTGAGCAGCTGTTTCAGTAATTTAGTTAGTAATTCAAGTCTTTTAAAAAAAAATTAAACTACATGTTTATGAGCAGAGGTGGACACAGTACACGACTCCATTACATGAGTGAAAGTACAGATCCTCCTGGTCAAATATTTCTCCAATGCAAGTCAAAGTTTTTCAGTCAATTTTTTTACTTGAGTTAAAGTACTGGAGTACTTGATTTTAAAAGTACTGAAGTACAAAGGAACATTTTTGCATTTATGTCACCACGTTGTTGGATTGTTCTACAGTGTATGATTTGTAGACTTGTGACTTATTTATGTAACCTGTAGAATAAACAGCTTATAGAGATGATACATGATATGATAAAAAAAACCTTATAGAAATGGAAATGGTCTTATTTTAGGCAGTGATGGAGTTTGGTCGTGGTAAACACAGCAAACATTTAAAAAAGAAATTTAAAAATTTAAAAAAAAAGGGAATCTCTCTTTATTTCTAAAATTTCAAACATCGTGGGACCTGCCACTGCCAAGTTCAAACCGAGCTGTTCAAACATGCAGACGCAGCAAATGCAACATGACAGACAGTGGAGGAGTCGTCTGGACTGTGGTTGGTTTTTCCTCTGTGATGAACACAGTGTATGGGCAATCACATTTTCAAAATAAAAGAAAATTCACTTCACAAACTAAAAGCTGCTTCAAAGTAAGAGTACTTCATAGAAATGTAGTGGAGTCAAAAGTACAATGTTTGTCTTTAAGTGTAGTGGAGGGAAAGTAAAGTGCAGATACATGAAAAATATACTTAAGTAAAGTATTCAAGTAAATGTACTTCATTACTGCCCAGCCCTGTTCATGAGGAGTTTTTTTTTTTTTTTTAAGATTTACGTCTTCTGTAGGAACCAATGAGCTTGAAACTGAGAGCCACAGACAGGAGGGAAGTCAGAGGGTGTTGAGAGATGAACCAACACCCTGTTGGTTTTGGTCTGTTGATAATAACATAAATAATAGTCTTTACTTTAAGAGCGGCTAATGAAAGATTCACTCTTTGAGAAAATACATTTAACGACCTTTCATTTTTAGGTGGCTAAAAACAAATAAGACGGCCATCACCGCCATAAAGAGCCTGTTGTAGTGCAGTGAGTGGCGTGTGTCTGGTACCAGTAAGTAGCTCTTGTAGCACTCGGTGGAGTCCTCAGCTCCCACCACCTCAGCCAGAGCATCGTACAGCTCGTCCAGAGGGTCGCAGCCTGCAGCCTCCTGCTGAGGAGAGAAGAGAGAATCATGTTGGATTTTTGTGATGAAATTTCAGTTGTGATGCTGCCGTGACTCTGGTGAAGACAACACTGAAATACCTGTCATGAAACAGTGGGGTGAATGCATTGCAATGAAATAGAAGGAAATAACCTGTAAGATATAGGTGTTACTGAAAACTCTGATAACTTTATATTAGAATGTCCAGAGACAGAGTGACGGTGCACCAACCCGTCTGATGAGCTCAGAGAGGAACAGCCGCCTGTATCTGAGTGATGGAGGAAACTTCCTGCACAGAGAGTGAAGACACGTCTGAAAACACATGAAGACACATGGCTGTTAGTTTCAGTGACAACTGCTTTGTGATTACAGCACAGTGAGGGGTCCGTGCGCAGGCTGCTCACCTGTTTCAGGATATCTGAAATGAAATCTGTTGATTTGTTGTTTTGAAGGTCTTTTTCGAGGAACTGCAACAGAAGAAACGATCAGTCAGAAATAATGACGTGGTTGTGATTCTCCTTAATACACTCAGTTCTGAGATCTGGTCTGAGGCAGACCGGCTAATACAGTACATCAGTGTCAAAAACTGAAAGACTATTTTAAATCAGAAAATTTAAATTTTTCTCAGTATTCTGGATTAAATTTCATCAGAGCAGGACTCTTCAGGCTCTTGAGTCCTGTTTTAAGACTGAAGGAAACCAGGCTTTTAATATCAAACCCCTCAGCTCTGGGTCTCCCTGCTTCAATATCTGAGACTTGTAGAATCAGGAACATCTTTAAAATCACTTCTTAAAACGTATCTTTAAAGAAAAGACCTTTCTTTAATTTATAGAACAGTTTTTGGCTACTGTTGTTTTTATTGTTTGTTTTATTGTTTTTATCTAATATTGTAATATTTCAGTCTATTATTTTGAATTTAATTTTAAATGTCTAATTTCACTTCCTAACTTTGAGCTCTTAATATTGTAATTATGTCCAAAAACTATGTAAAGCACTTTTTAATTTTGTTTTGAAACAGGCCACAGAACTCAGGCAAAAACCTTTTATAGTTGCTTATACAAGAAACATGTATTTCATTTACATGTCAGAACACAAATAAATATTGATTTATTGAATTAATTCAATATGTTTTATTACATATATTATTCATTTTTGAATTTTGAAGTTTTTTAGCGCAGCCTTTAAAGTATAGCACCCTGCATTTTAACAAAGAAATACTGTTTGGTTTTGTAACAAGGAAAACCTTGTTGGATGCACATTCAAGCCTCTAGTATTTTAAATTTCAACCTGTTATTTCTACAGTTTCAGAAAAAAAACAACTTACTCCAGGTCCAGAACAGAGCAGGACCTGCAGCTCTCAATGAACTCTGACATAATGTGTATTAACCGTGTGAGATGTGTCCTCAGTGAGCATATCTGCCGCCGAGCTCAGCAGCACGAACAGGCACATTTTTGGTGCGTCATACTCACCGTCCAGGGAAATGAAGGCAGACGACTCATAGAGAAAAACAACACCTGGAAATCTTTTAAAATATCCATCTTTTTCACTCTAATCTCGTCCGAGGTTTCCTCTGAATGCCCCATCTTCAACGTGTGTCTGTTTACTTCCTGCTTACCCATAATCCAGCGCGACCATCTCTCGCTAGAGCTACTGGGTAGTGTAGTTTTCTAACGGGTTTTGTTTTTAATTAACGAACAAACGGTTGTATCTGTGTAAAACATACAAAAAATTTTAAAATATATATATACATATCTACAATTTCTATATGATCCATATATTAATAAAGGATTTTTAGTTTCACATCTACAATTTTCAAAAGCAAAAAATGTTGGAGTAACCTTTAAATATAATAGTAATATTTCATTTCATTTACAATGAAATTTGAATATTAATACTGCCAAAACGCACAAAGCCAAGCAGTACTGTAAGGATTTTAAAATCTTTGTAAGAAATAAAGACAATTACAATGGTTTAATCATGTTTTTTTGTTTGTTTTTAAAGACATGTTTAAAAAAAGTTCAGCACAAAGCTACAGTATCTCTTTTTATTGCCCAACACCATCTGTACATGTAGACAGAAATTTTAGATTTAAAGGGTTTGATGCGGATAATCTGTGGAGATTATTTTTGTTATTTTTAGTCTGTTGGAAGTTTTCATCCCGCTCTTTTCTTGCTGTGTCACTGCAGGAGGAGATAAATCTCTTTACAGTTGGGCCAACTCCTCATTCAACCCACAACTCTGACAGCAGCAGCAGCAGGACACACACACACACACACACACACACATACAAACACACAGACACACAGGGTCAGCATTTATCGGTGAGTAACAAGTAGATTATTACTATGATATGATGTGTTTCTGTTCTTAAATTTATTGGCTATGGCATTATGTGTGCGACACTAGTATAAAACTATGATTCAGAAACACATACTAAACAAGTTGAGGATCAGATAACTATATGAGTCTAAATAATCAACTACCTAACCAAAGGCCAGAAAGCCAGAAAGTTTTGGTCCAACAAAACTGAACTCAAGGTTTGGAAAGGATGACTTAAATATAAAGGTATCATTTATTTTAGGTGTTCATATTACTGTGTGTTGTTATATAGCAAGAAATATGAATGAGTAGATAAAAAAATGTGAATAATGATATTTCCTTTGACCTGCAGTAAGTTAGATTTGATTCTGAGGGTAAAATATTATTTACGCAATGCTGATTTTATTTTAAATCCCCTCCTGTTTTGGACGAATTAAATACACATTGGTGGTACAAATTAATTTCATTCAATTAAACTGATTTCAAATAATCCCCTCGCAGATTTATAATTCTGTGCTTTGTTTTTTTTCTGTTTATATTATTATTAATTTATATATTATTTCCAATATTTATATATATATATATATATTCGATTTTTATTGGTATTTGGTCACATTTAAAAGAGTCATAAAAAGTTTTATATTCGAATAGTATAATATAGTAAGTATAAAACAAAAAAAAATATTTATTTATTATTATTATTTTTTTTATGATTGGTCTTGTCCAATTGAAATTTCCCAGTTTAAATGGTAAAACATAGAATATAATTCAATGGGATAGACGTTTTGATACAAGGAACGCAAACGAACGTGTGTTTCTCACCGGAGCGTTTTATGCAATGGACTGTCAACAAAGAATATGGCGGCGGTTTATACATAGCTGAACTGTACTCGACGCTACTGATGGAAGGTGAAAACTTGCGTCGGTGATAAGGAAGGTAAATGATGTATGTTTTTTTTACACTCGTATCTTAAGTACATATTGACTTACACAGATTCCGCTGTCTGCTTTAGCTTTATTGAGATATTTATATTTAATTTGTAACGTATTTAGTTAAAGGAGTCTGGTGAACGTGAAGCAGGAATTTTCCCCACAATTGTATTCGGCAGCTAACTACAGCTAACCTACTTTCTTGTTCTGGCCTGCTAATTGACGTTGCTGTCAAGTGAAATCGATGGTAATCCTGCCCCGGGCTTTGTATGTTGCCACAACAACACGCTCCAAACTCAATATTTGAAGGGCAAGAAAAGGACACCAACCGTATAACCCTGTTACATTCCCTTCGCTCTCCAAACCCCCTATAAAAATTAGGAAATTTAGTATTATTCCTATTGTCGCGCTTACCACTAAACGCACTCTGCGCACACGAGTATTTTTTATATAAATTAAGGATACACTCACTCATTCGGCATACATAAGTTATCATCTATTTTAGTCCAATTCATCTTTAATTTTACTTTAAGTTTTGTTTCACGTCCGGGAACAAAGTGGCAGTTGCACAAATACAACATAACAAAGCACAAACACACACTCAGTCAAGGCAGTCAAGTTACTTGTTTTTCATCTCGTCTCATGTTAATATTGCCAATTTCTGTCAAAAATATTTCCTTTAAAATAAATTGTGATTTTTTTTTTTTTTTAAAACCGAGTAAACTTTCCATTGCCATTTCCCTGGAGAAGCAGCTTTATATTAACCTCTTGTTATACCTTTAATAAAAGTACCAATCCTGGTAGAGTTTTTTTCTCATTTCTCTCAGGTCATCAGAGCTGCTGGAGGCTGAACACTGAGCAGCAGTGAAATCATGGTGCTGAAGATCTTCTTTCCACAGTGCTGTAACCGGGCGGACAGCGGGCTGCTGGTGGGCCGCTGGATTGCCGGTCATGACTCGGCCGTGGTGCTGGCGGTCATCCACTACCCGTTCATCCCCGGGCAGGTCAAACAGTACGTCCAGCAGGTGAGTGCTGCACCGGGCTGGCCTCTGTGTCCTCTCAGGTTAAACTTGCTGATTGATATCCTTATAGCTCTGTCTGCTGCACCATAAAAATGATTTTTAACCTGTTTCTCACATTGCACCTCTGTTACCAAATCCAAACAAAGATGGTAGCCAGAGATGACATATCATCTCGGTTAAATTGTTACAAATGATCCAAAATCAAAAATGCTGTTACTAAAAACAAAATCAGTTTCATGAAGACACACAAAAAAAGTCTTATTCCATCATTTTCTCTCAGATGCAGGCTCAGAGTGGGGTGGAGCTGTCAGTGCTGGGTTCCTGGAGTTTACCCAAAGATGGTCAGGAGGGCATGGAGAGTTTCCTCAGAGACCTCAGCACCATCTTCCCCCAGAAGTGCTGGCTCCAGATCAGCCGCCAGATGGGCAAGACAGGCTTCACCTGCAACATCCTCAACCGAGCTCAGAGTAAGAGCATCACATTGATATTCACTGGGTTTCTACAGTAGTCCTGGAGTTTCGGACAGACAGAAATGTCAGATTTAATATATTCTAGTTTCTCCAGTTAAAGGTTATGTCCCATCGCAGACTTTCCATCAAGTTCCTTTATTTCAAATACAATTACTCTGGTTTATTATCTGTAGTGAATCATTGAAAACCCAAAGAGGATTTTCTGTTCACAGTTTTTTAATAAAAGAATCAGTCAGGAGTTCAAATGAATGAATCTTTGTAATGGCCAGATGGAGGAGCAGCTCAGCAGGAGGTAACAAAGAAAAAGGATGAGGAGGATGTGAAGAGTGATGGTGAGGCTGGAGGGGAGGAGGAGGACAAGGAGGAGGAGGAGGAGAAGGTGATCTTTGTCCACTACGAGCAGAGGAAGGTGATGCTGTCACAGCTTCACCCCATCGAGAACGGGGTTCCCGACCCCAAAACTGATCCACCGTCTGAGCTGAGACAGGTACGAGATAGACGCAACTCCGGTTCAGTTTAATTTTTTTTTTTTATGACTATTATCTTGTAAGTAAAATGAATGAAAGGTGAAAATGACATGACTGATGGTCTGAAGAATGTGATGATTTTTTCTGATTTCTGATTTTGTCTTTTTCTGAAGCAAAACCTGAAGGAAAGAATAATAATGCTGCATGAAAATATCATTGTACTCATCAGAAAGTGCCATTACTTTATTCTACTGGATTGTCAGATCTCTACAGATTCTCACTTCCAGTTATTTCATATTTACACTGTTGCATTACTTCAACATGTGGTTATGTGTAAAAATATTTCCTTTAACTCTGGAAACATATAAAAAGCTTTTCCACCAAATGCATTTTCTGAACAGCATCAAGCAGCTTTTTGTTCGAGGGTCGGCTCCTCTGAACAGTCTGGAATGGTATCTCCCATAATGTCCTTTGACCTCAGACAGGCTTTAGTTTAAACCATGAGCCTGGTTTGTCTCCAGGTCTCCACAGAGCCTGGCTGCATGTTTGCTTTTAATCTGGGCCTTTTGATTCTTCCAGCCAAAAACTCTCCGTATTGTTGGGCTGGTGTTCAAAAATTTTAATATTTAGCTCCGATTCCCATTTGATTGATTTATATCCAGTGTTTAGCTTCCTAGTTGTACCCTGGTTGTCTGCATCAACAGTCATTTTAGTTATTGTTTTAGACATACCAAGAAAAACTAGAATTACCTCCTTGTGGTTGTTTGCCTCCTTCACTCAGACTAGTTTCAGGTTACATCCCTGTTTATCCAGAGTATGAACCATTTGTGGGAAATGTTCTCATAATTTCTGCTTGAAGTCTCGAGCAATGGCTGAAAAGTGTTTTCTGAGGTCACACTGACCTTGACCTTTGACCTTTAATCACCAATGTCTAATCAGTTTGTCCTTGAGTCCAAGTGAATGTTTGTGCCAAATTTGAAGAAGTTCCCTCCGTTCTCCCTTCAAGGTCGAGAGAATGGGACAGACGTACAGACAACCCCAAAATAATATGCCTCCTGCTCTGACTGTTGCCGGGGCGGAGGAATAAAAATACATGAGTCAAAAACTTCCTTCAGTTTGTGTCCTTGGTCCAGAGCAACTTCTGCAGACGAAAGATTGTAGTACAACACGGGACATGTGTCCAGAGCATGTAGAGAGTAAAGTGTGACTGTGGCTCAGGCAGCAGGTTGATGTGATCTCCTCCTCTCCTCCCGTCCAGATGTTCCAGACGGTGGCCCACAGCCAGCCTCTGTTCTTCCTGGACAAATACGACGACGGGCCACTGAAGTCCACGCACTGGCAGTCAGAGGGTCGAGAGGCCAGCATCATCGTGGAGCTGCTCAAACAGGCGTCTGTCCCGCTCTGCCTGCTCCTCAGCTGCCTGCTGTCCTTATGGACGTGGATCTGTAACATCCGGTGAGAGGAGGGAAACCAGAGCTGAAATCACTGGTCGATTTAATAGATTTGTTGATGAACAAAAAAATCAGCAACTATTTTGATAATTGTTGAATCATAATCCAGATTACAAATGGTATCTTTTCTGAGATTCTCATTTGTGGATTTGCTGCTTTTCTGTCTAAGGTGATTGCAAATTAAATATCTTAATATCAGTTTTCACAATACTAAAAGTAATGGAAATAATAATGGTAATAATTGTTACCAGCAGCCTCAAAGAAAATGTAACATTCTAACACACACTTGTAGTGAACGTTTGGACATTTCTTGATGGCCAAAAGAAACATTGTGAGGTTTCTGATTACAAACATTAAATCCTAGAACTTTAATTTCAGGGATTCCTGAAGATTTTACTGTTTTGTTTTGTTGTATTTACAGAATTTTACATTTGTTAAATTGGAAAACTTCAGAATCTAAAGTCTCAAGACGTGAGACTGAGTCAAACCTGAGGTCTGAATCTCTGATTATGAAAACAAGACACTAAAACTGTCTTTTGTGGTGTGGAGTCATTATTGTCATTGCTTTATTTCACCTGCAGGATCTTCAGTCTGCACCCACTCCGCTTCCTGTCCAGTAAACTGTCCACCTGTGTCCAGCTGAGCTACAGAACCCAACACATGAGGACGCTCAGCTCACCCAAACCTGCTGCCGGACACACACAGTTTATGAGGCGAGTTTGTTACTGGAAGCTAAATGACCATTCTGTGCATGTGGAGATGTGGTGCTGGGACCATAACTTGTTTATAGATTTTGATGATTTTATAACAGTAAAGAAAAAAGAAAAGGTCTATCCTCTGGTGAGTATAAATGTGCGCAGTGAACTTCATGTTAACCTGTCAGTTAGATTTGTATATACAGTATGTGCAGGGGGCAGTTTTGTCATATGAAAGGTCATAAGGTCACCAAGATCAGAGGGAATCAGCCTCTGGAGTCCATGAATATCCACAGAAAGCCCCAAGACAGTATGACCAGGTGCAGGGGACAAACGGAAGTGACTCTGTTTTTACCCTCATGTCCTCTGTCTGTCTGTCTCTCTGTCTGTAGAAAAGCCAACATCTTGGTGTCGTTCCTGGTGGACGTGGCTCTCGGCATGTTGCTCATCTCGTGGCTCTACAGAGACAACCACATCACCATGTTGGCAAACACACTGGTGCCTGCAGCAGATGTAAGTGTGCGTTAGTTTGGTCAGATTCTAAAATGTTTATTACTTTTGAGATGATCACTGTGTCAGGTTCGGTGATCGCAGTCATAGGTTCTTGCCGTGACTTGGCGAAGATACACGGCAGGTTACATGTCGGACCAAGACACACACATGCCATCAAGAAAATAAGTACAAATGTGTCAAAAATATTTAAAAAACTATAATTTATTATTTCAAAAATAATGATATATTTCTGCTGTAGTCTTGAAATACTGAGTCTAAAAATAATTTCAACTTTCACCACTTTTGGTCTTCATACAAAAGATTTTAAACATCCTGATCTCTTCTATCTGGAGAAGCATCAAACTAAACTAAACGAGCAAACTGCTGCTGTCTCTTACGTACTGTAGATGCTCACTGGTGTCTGAACCAACAAGACACAGTGCAAGTAGACGTTATCAGGTCATTTCTAACTGACCAGATTTAGTTTAATGATAACACATTTCCCACCTTTACTTTACTGTTGTGGTTTCCTGCAGCATGTGGCTAAAGAGCTGGAGGAGCTGCTGCAGTGGCTGATGGGAGCTCCTGCAGGGCTGAAGATGAATCGGGCCCTGGACCAGGTTCTGGGCCGCTTCTTCCTCTACCACATTCACCTGTGGATCAGTGAGTCACAAGGCGCACACACACTCACGGCCTTAAACGTCCATGCTAAAATAACACAGAACACAGGAGGAAACTTGCTGCTGGTGCCCCCTAGAGGCTTCACAGGTCATCACACTGGTCAGACTGTCCCCTCGTATCTGTCCTCCCAGGCTACATCCACCTGATGTCTCCCTTCATCGAGGGGATCCTCTGGTACGGAGGCCTGTCAGCCTGCCTGGGCCTGACCTTTGCCCTCTCGCTGCTCTCTGACATGGTGGCGCTGCTCACCTTCCATATCTACTGCTTCTATGTCTACGGAGCCAGGTGAGACCTCGACACAGACCTCATTTTGGGACTTGAATGTTTTTGGTTTCAGAAGTAGCTTAGCTTCTCTGAAGACTGAATTTAATCTGTGTGGCTGCTAATTCTTAATCAATGCAAAGAGCTTAGAAGTTTAATCACTTAAATGCACCACAGTAATTATAATAACTAAATTAAATTAAAGTTATTTTGGGGCATTTTATGCCCTTTATTTGACAGTGAAAGTGGAGACAGACAGGAAATGTGGGAGAGAGAGTAGAGGAGTGACGTGAAGTAAATGTTCCGGCCGGCCCAGAGCCGAACCAGAGACCTGCTGCTCAGGGCATTTTACGCCCATGTGGTCTGCTCCTAAACCGTCAGGTCACCTGTGCACCAGAGTAATTTCACGAGGAGCTTCAGGCTGTTTTACTTGATGAGCTAACAGAAGTAAATTTACACTGCTTAGGAAAATGCAGCTCTGGAGCCTGTGTGACTAAAGTGACTTGCCAGCACCTCTTACACACTTGTCTCTGGTGGTGGCAAGATCCCATTTCAAAAATGACACTCACAAGGAGATGATAACTGTGTGAGTGTGGTGGGTTCTTCTTTGTTTTTGCATGGGTCAGAATTGTGTTTTTTTTTTTTGTTGTTTATTTGATTAGTGAAAAATCTCATAATTAAAACAGGAGTAAATTGCAAATGGCAGCTTGCATGTTGCAGATCTGGTGAAACAAGCCCCTGATAAACTGGGAAGGTCTCAGTCACGTGTCGGTCACATTACAGGCAGCATCAGCACATACACACCCTCTCATCTCTCAAGTGTGTTTTATCAAGTTGATTTTGTGTTTGACAGTTTTCATTGTTGTGTATTTCGATGAAATCTGTGTAACCTGAACTTATAGTGAAACACACAGACACATAGTGAAGTGTGCTGAAAGTTGGGTGAGCATTGGTGCATTGATGATAAATGTTGTTTTGACCTGTCATCAGGTCTTGCATTCAATTTTTTTGCCACTGCGGGCAGTGCCTGCATTTCCTCAGAATCAGAATCTGGTTTATTACCAAGTAGGTTTTCAACATACAAGGACTTTGCTTTGGTGTTTTGGTGCATAACAACAAACAAACAAATAGTAAGAAGAAAAGAAATCTAAACAAAGACAAAACAAGGAAGTACTGGAGCTCAGATATCTTACATATAAATAGAAAAATTTAACAATAAAAAAAATATTCTAAAACATTGTTGTTAGTCTGAATGCTGACTGACTGCCCCAGTGTGAAGACACCAGACATTCAAGCAGTGCTGCGAAACAGTGTGTGCCGTTGAACTGGGACCCACCAATGATTTTAGTGATTCACCAGCAGGGGGCAGTTTTTCCAAACTTTTTTCTCCAGTAAAGACACTTAAAGTAAATCATAGCTTCTTACTGACCCTTTTCTGAATGTGAATATTTCAGTGACCTCCATCTGTACCAGGAGAGTAAATGTGCTAAATGGAAAATAATCTGCCTTTTTTTCTTGAGTACATATGGACATTTTCAGCTGATTTTGGTGTTAGACAAAAGATCAGGAGGTCACCAGAGACAGTAGGAGGCATCGTTTACTAGTGATGATGATAAACAATTAGAGATAATTATTCATCATAAATTTCATAGCAACTCAGCAAATAGTTGTTAGGATTTCTTTTGTTGGACTGTGATGACAGATTAACCACATGACTTTATTGCATTATGCGGATCCTGCCACTAATAGAGGGTATTAATTATATCAGAAATGATCATTACAGCACTTCAGTGTATTTAGATTCTTGCAGTCTGAGGAAAACAAAACAAAAGCTTCAGACCTGATCAGTCTAAGCAACCTTATCTTAACGTAACAAGGAAACGCAGATGTGTGGTTAAATGAACTCACAGGATTAAAGCACCACACCCACATCAACTCAAACACACATGGAGTCACGCGTACATGAAAAGTATTTGTGTGGTTTATTAACAGAGAAAGTACAGAGAAGCTTTGTTATTATCTCTTCAGTTCAAACGGGTGTAACGACACATACGTAAATCACCTGGGTCTGACTGTGAGAACACGATGTTTTGTTGTATGTCACTGTTACATAACTGAGTCAGATAGTTGTAAAAAAAAGATGATTCAGTCATTTCCTCCTTCAGTCTGCCTCAGTTGATCCACACACGGCTCTCGACGTGTTTGCTCTTCCTGTGCTCGTTGGAATAATTTAAATGTTGGCAATAAAAGACGGTGAAGATTGTGAAGATGCTCCGAACTGTTCATTATGAAACATCTGTTATCTGGTTGCTCAATATAAAACATTTAAACATGTCCTGGTGCTTATTGGACCTAAAGATAATTTTAAAGTACCTCTTCACATATGTTTTCAACTCTGTAAAAAATCATTTGCTATGATTCATATTTTGTTCCCACATAAAAAGTGACAAAAAATGCAAAACTGGGTCTGAAGCTCATCTGCTCTTAATTCCTCATTGAGAGATCCAGATCAGGCCTTGAGCCCCGCCCACCACCTGCTGGCTCCAGGTGTACAGGTGAATGAGCAGAGCATCAAGATGGTTAGAGGAGGAAACATGTTTGAGCCTCAGTCAGACCCAGACTCAGATGAGGAGTCTGTTGAGACCAGAACCAGAGACTAGCAGACGGATCAGAACGGTTAGTGCAGTTAGCATCTTTTATTTGATTATGTTGTTTGTTAGCTTGTAACTGACAGTGGCTAACACAGTGTTAGTGGTTGTGCTAATGCTAACTCTTGCTCTCTGTACTGACAAGGTTTCAGGTTTATTTAGCCCCTCCCCCCGTCCCCACGAATTGACAGGATTGGTTCCTTAAGTTTGTGACGTATGAAACCCTGAATCTGTTTTTATGAGACTGTCATTGGTTCACTGCAGTTCAAGGAAGAAGAAACTCATTCATATGTCTTGTATTATATAAAAAAAACATCATATGGATGTTAACATGCTTAAACAGTAGATTTTCATCATAGTCTTTTACTTGTCACTGGGTCCTTCAAATGACAACACCTGTTGGTCACCACTTTGGTCCAGATGAAATATCTCTATTCAATCTCAACTATCAGATGGATTGCCATGAACTTCTGTACAGACATTTGTGGTTCCCAGATGATAAATCCTAGCGATTTTGATGATCCTCTCACTTTTCCTCCAGCTGCAGATGTCAGCCTCATGGTGGAGGCTGACATCTGCAGTTCCGAGTGAAATACCTCAGCAACTATTGGTTGGATTCTCATGAAAGTTCATCCTCCTCAGGAATGTGTTGTTATAACTTTGATGATCTGCAGAGCTAATGATTCTCATCAGCTTCATTTTCAAGTTGTGTTTAGTCCTAATTAGCAAAATGGTCACCATGGCAAACATTACATCCTGTAGTATCTGCTAAATGCTAACACTTTAGCGTTACTATTGTGGGCATGTTAGCATGCTCATGCGACTGTTTCAAAGCACCTGTATGCCAAGACCAGGTGACTCTCAGCCGGGCGATCTTTGTTGCATATCACACCCCTCTCTCTCCTGCTGTTTTCTGTCACTCTCTGCACTGACTGTCCAAAGAGAAGTATCTTTTTTTTTTTTAAAGTTAAGCCTCACAGAGCCACTAGCATGCCTGTAAAATCTTAGACTTGTTTTTAATCTAAATTGTGGAACATAGTCTTACAGAGTAGCTCAAAAGTGGCTTTTTTCTCATGAGAGAATTTAAATTTTTAAATCTCCTAGTGCAACATTAAACTGAGAAAAACCTAAATATAGTTTAAACTATGTCACTGGATCGTTATGTTGTCAGATTAATGGTTTAAAATAATATTGTATGTTAATCTTCTGTCATTTGATGTCATTTTGGGACACGTGAAGCCAAGTCCCAACATGTCATCACTGGAAAGTACTGTTTGGGGATTAAAGGATAATAGAACAGAATGACTGTTATTTATTTATTTATTTATAAGCCTGATGATCTTCTTAAATCTTAATATTCTTGAATTCTTGACGTTCAGGTGGCCTCACCTTGTTTGATTTCCACTCAGCTCTGTTTAAACCTGGAGGAGTAACGGCTGTAGATCTCTGTGGAGTGATGGAAGTCTGAACACTGATAATAGTCCTGCGTGTTGGAGGAGAGAGGAGTGACTAAATTATGCATTTGCTCTAAAGATAGGTCGGCTCTCTCGCCCGTGGTGCATAATGAAATATTACCCACTTTCCTTGTTACATATTTATGCTCCAACAGCTCTTGGGTTGTGGGCAAGTGTGTGTTAGATTCAGTCTGAGACCCTTTGTTGGAGTCACTTATTAAATCTGTATGCCTGCACCTAAAAATATCTCCTGCTGTGATCACAATGCAACTGTCGACACTGGAGAGAGAAAGAATAAAACGCATCTGAATCAGCTTTAGGAAGCTTCTCTAATGATGTGAATGTGATTAATAAATGTTTCTGAAAACGGATGCAGATTTTTTTTAGGTCACAGTTGATGGATTTTCTTTTGTGAACAATTTAAAATTATATTTATTATTTATTGTCTCCAGTTACTAAAAGCACCCTCACCCCCCCCCCCACCCCAGAAAAGGTAGAATAACCCCACAGACAAGATATTACATCAAACACAGTTATGTAACTAATTCTCATTTTAAATTATCAGTCCAGGTCTGTGTACATAGATCTTTTTATTCTTTTGTTTCCCCTTTTGATTTTTTTATGTGCATGTTAACGGTTAAGTGAGATGACTTCCTGTTTTATGCTCAGTTGATCAGTGTGCCTTAAATGTTTTGATGGGGATTTTATTGACTTAAAATCCAGCATCAGATCCACTTATCAAATCAGGATCCTTTTGAATCCCCTATCAAATCTTACTGGGTTCACCTACACTGCAACACTGTAAGTTGCTAAAGGCTAAAATAACTACAAAGATGTCTGATCAACTTTTATTGGCTGAGAAGCAGAGACACTACTACACTACTTTTTAATGTTCACAGCCTGAAAACGAGCTGAGCAGCTGAAGATATGAAATGTTGATTAAACGTATCTGACACATTCAGTGAACAGCTGTAGCCTAATAATAAATACTGGAGCTCTTGATTCACAGATATTAGGTTGATCAGAAAACACTGATCTGATCACAATCACAGTTAAACTGGTGCGACGTGATCAGACAGTGATGTAACAGAGTGATGTGTCTTTTACACACAGCATCTGCAGAGAGCACATTAACACACAGACACACTTGTTTGTAACACTGAATTAACATGAATTAGCTGCAGCTGATCTCATCTGCTGATGTCTGTCACTTTAACCAGTGACGGTAACGGTCGCTGAAAACGAGAAGCTGCTGCATGTGTTTTCAGCTGCTCTTTACTAATTGCAGAGAGGAGAGATAGAAGGTTTGAGAAATCCAGGTATTCTGACGACCAGGAGCTGGATCCTGAACCGAACTGACTATCAGAACCCATACCTACTTAAATGTGAGCCATAGTACTCTAAGACGAAATTATAACATATCCAGGGTGGCTGTTTTTTTTTTATTTTCTGTACCTCCTCCTTTTCTCTGAATTGTCTAAACAAAGCAAGAAACTCTTCTGTAAATTCCATGGTTGCTAATAAAGACAAAAAATAGAACAATATGCTAAAAGTGCCGTGACAAAATGTATAAATCATCAGATGCAAACTGTTACTGCTGCCTGGTGCAGTTCTCCCAGTACATAACCCGACTCTCATATTCAAATGGACCTCGCCCCCTCCTCTCCTTCTCCCCTCTGTCCATTCACACCTGCTGTGCAGCAGGGACACAGGTATTTAAGTTGTGTGTTTTTCAACGAGGATGTCATCAGCTGTGTCTGTGTCCCTGTCAGGTTGTACTGTATGAAGATCTACGGCCTCTCGTCTCTCTGGAGGCTCTTCAGAGGGAAGAAGTGGAATGTCCTGCGGCAGAGAGTGGACTCCTGCTCCTATGACCTGGACAAGGTATCACACACACACACACACACACACACACAAACAAACAAAGCACTATAATCATTTTCTTAGAGTTATATATGTTTACTGTGAGTGTCCTTGTGTTTGTGATGCTCCAGCTCTTCATTGGGACGCTGCTGTTCACCATCCTGCTGTTCCTGCTCCCGACCACAGCGCTCTACTACCTGGTCTTCACTCTGGTAAGATCAAGTCTCAGGTGAAGAAACTTTAAAGGTCCATATTTTCTTCTTCTCCTGTGTTTTATTTGAAGTGATGATCCATCTCCTCTCTCAGGCTTCTTTCTGGAGCTCTAGTAACAACAGGTCAGGGAGCCAATCAGAAGAGCGGAGGCTCTGAGTTTCTTTTCTGATTGGCTGCCTGTTTTCTGAGTGATACAATAAAAAATATAGTAGATTTCAGGTAAACACTCAGAGAAACTAAATCCTGCAAGGTTGGATGGTGGGTCCAGGTGGGAGGGGTTTGGTGCATGGCTGCAGGTGGTGACTGCTTCATTGTGTCATCACAAAGTTACAGAAGTCCCGACGGCTGGTTTTAAGGCTCAGTTTCTGAATACAGGCTGTGTGCATTTCTCTGTGGACTGAGGCTTTGATACTGTTACAGTATTAATATAGAACCTAGACCTTCTTTATGATCAAACAACACATTGAAGTCTCACGTTATACAGTTTGGGACCTTTAATAGCCTACTTTTTATTAAATTCCTTCAAAGTCACTACATATGAGTCTGGACAGACATGGATATAAACAGACTGGTTTGCAGAGGCATTTAACCGCAAGGCCGTAATTCTAGTTGATGATAAAGATAATTGTTAGTTGTGGCTCTAGATTCAGGTCAGCACAAGTGGCATGTGCTGTAATGTAAAGGAGTGGAAACCATGCCCAACCAGCACACAGAGAGACTGTGCTATGCTGGTTTTGGAGCGCGTCTACTGACGGTTGTTTTTCAGACTGGAAAAACCACTGTGTCAGTCAGAGCTCTGTCGGCAGGATCACTCTGCTGCTGCAGAGCCAGAAAAACTGACAGAAAATCATAACCATAGATTTTTCTTTTCTCTGTCATTCCTACGGATATTTTCATACTCGCTGTTGTATTGTGACATCTTGACAACATGTCACTATTGGAATCACAATCCTCATCATAACAACATAAATTCAAACTGACAGCAGCTGCTGTTTCCTGCCAGTTACAAACTCTGCAGCCTTTTTTTTAAATATACACAGGGTGTGTTTGATGGTTATAAATAGATCCTGGGTGGAGTTTCACTTCACATCATGAAATGAATGTTTGATGTTTACTTGATGTAATTGGCCTGCTCAGGTGTTAACTGGGAACATGTTCAAATAATAGACTTTGGGACTCTTTTCCATCCACAACTCTTAAGTGGTCCAGATCCATTTTTTTAACAAAACAACGAGACCAAACCTAAAACTGACTCTGATCATCTCGAGAGGGATAGGTTAGATTTTGACCCCAATGTGTCCTTTTGTTGTGCAGTTGCGGCTGGTGGTGGTGCTTTTCCAGGGCGTCCTCCACCTCAGTGTGGATTTCATCAACTCCTTCCCTCTGTTCGCTGTGGGCCTCCGCATCTGTCGGTCCTACAGACTGGCAGGTACTTGACCCTTTTATCGTCTATCCACTTTATTTGTCTAATACTGTTCAGAAGAGAGAGCTAAGAAGATCAAAGTTGAGTGTAATTATGTGCATTAATTTATAAGCATATAAAACTCCATTCTATCACCACAGTTTCTTCTACTTTGCTGCTTAATAATGAAGGAAAATGATATTAAAGCAATGTGGAAGATGATGGACAGACAGATGGATAACAACATGATGCAGGGTGTAAAAGTGTATCTGGATGGATGAATGGATGAGTGACACTGTGAAATGATCAGTACACAGTTGAATTGTTGAACACTTGGTCTTATTCAGTGATGTGTGTCACGTAAATTACAGAGGGTGTAAAGTTCAGGGTGCTGTGTGACGAGCCGGGGACGGCCCTTCACCTGCTGATGGAGGTAAGAGACCACATTTTGTTTCCTCCTACATCTAAAACTGAAGTTTTGCTGGTTTCAGAGAGCACTTGAGACCCTCAGTGGTCTTACCAAAAACTCAGCTCCACTTTTAAGACCATTCTCCTCCAGCTGATGACTATTTGAAAGTGAGTCCTTCCTCTCATCTCAGTCATCTGGAGAAAATCTTTCATTTCCTGACACTGTGGAGTGAAGTAAATCAAGAAACTTCTTAGTTCATGCAATTTTGACATAGTGTATGCCTTGTGCATTAACAGTGAAAGGAGCAGTGTAGAGTATTGATCATTTTGATGACCTGTATTTATTTTCTAAGTCTTAACAGTTTAAATGAAAGAGTGAGGATAAAGTAATTGTACAAGATATAAGTTTTCTGGTCAGTCAGTGTTGGAAATTATGCTTTTATTCTGAAAGATTCAGGCAAAAGCCTTGTTGCTGCTGCAAAGCAAAATGTTTATTCACATAACTAGTTCAGAAAATTATGTTTATTTTAATAGGCCCATGCCTATTGTTTAATCTGACAGTTATTTTCTCCATTAGTCAATCCATTGTTCATCTATAAAATGTCAGAAAATAGTCACATATCTATCTATCAGCATTTTCCAGGGACCAGTGTGACATATTTAAATTGGTCTGTCCAACTGTCCAAAAACCTAAGATATTCAGTTTTTTGGATGTCTATGAAAACCAGCACATGTTGGTTCCTGACAGTCATCTGATCATTTCAGCTGTGGTCATAAGAATCTTTTTTTTGTTGCAAAAGAGAGATGATTTTATTTCCTGTAAACTAAAACATTTTCTTCCATGTCCAGTCCAAGTCTCTTTATAACAGAGTACTCCTCCCCTTGTGTTTTTACTTAAGTAACTTTTCCACCACAGCATGCGATGAAACGATGTATGCATTAAATTTTTTACCTTTTTTCTCTCATCGTCAGGCTGTTTTGTGCTTTTCTCCTCAGCTCAACCCTCTGAAGTGCAGCACAGTGGTTCAGACCTACCGCACTCCCACTTACAGCTGCTACCCAAAAGATTCGTGGGCGGCATTGGTCAAGAAACTGTTTGTCGGGGAGCTGATTTACCCCTGGAGACACAAAACCACCAAGGCAGACTGAGAGACACCAGCCAGAAATGTGACAGTGAGAGAGAGAGAGAGGGAGAGAGAGAGAGAGAGAAAGAATAGGAGAGATGAGGGAACAGAGGAAAGGGAAGAGACTGAATAAATAATGAGATTGAAACAGACAGATGGAGCAGGGACAGGAAATGGGAAGCAAGGGTGAAACTGGTACAAAGACCTCTGAGTCGAGCTGCTTTCATGTATGATGGGAAGAACGTCAGAGAGAGTGATGCTGCCAAGTCACCACTCTTGTAGTTTTCTGAGCTCAACAGTGTCAGCCACAAACTAAAACACAGCAAGTAGTCATGTGCTGCTGTGATCGTAAAGTGACTTTCAGTAAATGGTCAAAATCCTTTATTTTTTTATAAAAACATTCCCTTTAAGTGACGTCAGCTATTTTCTTTTTATTCACATGTGAGAAATTAGACTCCATCATTAGATGCAAGCAGCTGTAAGATGAAGTGAACAGTGCTTTTCTGACTGCAGTACAAAACACCAAGGGACCAAAACAACTACTTAATATGTCTAAGTGTGGGAAAAAAAACCAGATGATTAATAATAAAAAAGAGTTCAACTTCAAATGTGCAGATAAGATGTGAATGTGAGTTTACATTTTGAAATTATTGTAAAGGAATATCGTCCTAGCTTTATCCCCTTAATGTCAGTGAAAAATCAACCAGCAAACACACAGCTTGTAGTGTGTGTATTGTCGTTAGCACTCTGGATGTTTGTGCTCAAAACTCCGTATATTTGGTAAGTGTATCGTGTTCCCCAGAGGATAATCCCTGCTGCATTTGCCGACCCTCTGATCTTTTATTTAGTGCCACCATTAGGTTAAAAATATTCTGGGTGGTGTGTCACTGTTGGTTTGTGTGATGCTGCTGTCATTCTACTGGTTTATGGCATTTATAAACTATACGTCATGTGCCCTTGCTGATTATGATATGCATATGCTGTGTGTGACTACAAGATGCTTCATCACTCCTGTTTCCCTGGCAGATACTGCTGTTTCACTCTTGATTCACTGTTGATTCTAAGTGGTATGCCACTCGCACGTTGCTGCTTCATCCGACACACGACACAGGAAACTGTTCTTTTGTGGCACTAACGGAAACTGTTCCCCACTGTCTCATGACGATTGTTACTGCCACTCTGATGTCAAATCATGTATGAGTAACACACAGTAGAGACATATCACAACAATCAGTGGTATACAGATATGTGCCATGAGATAAGCAGTGCTGTGCAAAGGTTTTAAGCACCAATGGGGAAAAAAATGCTGTAAGAAAATAATTACTATCATATAAAGTGCAGTGAACAAAAGACTAAATCAGATCAGGATTTGCTGTGACCCCCCCTTTTGCCTTTTTAACCCATCAGCAGTTCTCCTCAGTAAACCTGCTCACAGTTCTTCAGGTACTTGTCAGGTAGGTTGGAGAACCTGCTTCAGTTCTTCTGTCTCAGTGTCTGTTTCTCTTCATGTGATCCCAGACTGACTCCATGATGCTGAGATCGGGGCTCTGTGGGGGCCAGACCATCTGCTGCAGGACTCTGAAGATAGTTCTTTATGACTCTGGCTGTGTGTTTGGACTCGTTGTCCTGCTGCAGAATGAATCTGGGACCTTATGGGATTGTGTGATGGGATGAGATTCTAAACATATGAAGTGCTTAAACCTTTTGCACAGTGCTGTATGTCGGTGGGAAGTCAAGTCTAATATGTGACAGTGGAAGATGAGGGTCTAACTGTTCATAACTGCCAGAAGCCAGTAAAACAGCAGCTGCAGCATTATACTGAAAACCACCAGTGACGTACTACACAGAATCAACGCCAGAACAACTCAGTGTAATTCATGCTTCCCGGAGGATAAACACTCCCCAATTTAGACACTCCTTCCTCTAAAACCACATGTCATAATCTAAAAGTTAAATTGTCATGAAATATGCTGAGCACATTTATGCTTATTAATGGAGCCTTTTCTATTTTAAAGACCCGATGACCTTCCCTCTAGCACCACCCAAGCTTAATATTTTTAGCTCCACCTAAATTATCAGTCTGTTGTTGGTCCCATCCAACAAATGAATAACTTATAACTTTTTAGAGTGCTTTTAGAAAGCAAGTTGGGTTAAGCAACACTCTGAAACACTTTTTTGCTGAACAGTTGTCACTGTGGCCACAGGTAACAATTATGGGATGATGCTAAATGCAAAGGCAGTACCATAAAAGTAATCAAATCACTAAGCTCACAGACTAAGTATAGAGTATGAAAGTTAATACAAAGTACTCAGTGTTGTCTGTTAAACATCTTAAAGTATCCCAACATAAGCTACTGGTCATACCAGACCAAGTTTAACAGCAAAACTTCAGTTGATTTTAACTGCTTCTGTCTGCAACATTTTATTTGTAAAAGAAATAAGGTGTTATGTCTTCTTCCAAAAGTTACATAGTCTTGCTTTAAACTTTTATCAGTCTGACTTAATTTACTATAACAGATTATGAGAGAGTTCAGAGGGAATGTGAGTTGCTAACTAGCTGCAGCTACACCTGAAACAAGGGTTAGTAGATGAGACAGTATTTTCATATATGGATGAACTGTTCCTTTAAAGCCTGGGCCTGCCAATAACATGGCAGAATCCCACTTAGAAATCAGGTATTTATGTATTAACTGCACTGACTGTGTAGATAGTTTTAATCCTTTAGATTTTATATGATTAAGTATTAGTATGAGCCTAATTCAAACAATAACTGGACAAACTGATATTTTTATTTCTTTTAAATAAAACATTTTTTAATCTTTATAAGTCTAAATGTAATGATTAGTGTTTTAGGTTTAAATGTTGCCATATTTCCTCCATGCACTGGAACTATTTTTCCCCTGGCAGATGAATTTGGCCCTTGAGATTGAGTTACTGATACGGATGAATGGTCATGCAGTACCATTATGGTGTAAAGCAAATGATCTAATTCTGCTCTCGGCCAGTTTGTCAACATCTCTGACAAGTCTTTTTTTTTTTTATTTATGTGCCTAATCATGTTGTTTTTATTGAAATGTTGCCCTGGAATTATGTAGAACAATCAACCTGAACCAGCTCTCGTTAAAAGAAACAATCCAGCAGTTTGAACTTTGTCTTGTTGTCTGTTGGTGAATCGTGCATAAAACAGCTTCGGAGCTGGTGGAAGGTTATTTAGGCTAATTATGTAACACATCCTAGACCTATCTCCAGATACACAGAGATGAAACTGATATGAATCTTCTTATCTGACTCTGGAGTAGATTTCTTGCTTTTAATGTGAATTATTGCTATTTAATTTCACTTTGATCTTTACACCCTGCCCTTTAGCATCCTTAACACCAACTTGTCATTTGTAACAGTTGAATTGGTAAATGTGCTTATTACTTGTTTCTATTTGTTTCTATCAATTTAATCCTCCATTCATCTGTCTTAATTGTCACATTGTCATTAAATAAAATTCATTCATATTGAATATTCTGATGTCTATCCTTTTCTATATGAGGCTTTCCTGATCATAAACAGCTAATGAATGAAATGGAGTAGAAAACATGACAGTCTTACATGATTTAATCTCATCTGCAACATCAATAAAAGACAAAACATTGAGCTGCTCCATCAATAATTAATTTAAACTGAATGAATGTACTTAAATTTAATTGGATTTATTTTAGCAGCTCTGAACCATAAAGTGTGCAATCACTGCACTGCTGCAGCGAACATGGATCCGGTCTTCAGTGATCCTGTGGTTGTTCTTTTATCTTCACAACAGTATTGTAAATCCAAACTGATCTGTCCTGTACCACAGAAGATTAGACATTCACACAAAGGGGACAGCGTTGGTCCTGCAAAAACTGCATTATAATTTTAAAAGTGGATTTTGCACATGATTTTGCTTGTGAAGCTACATCTTTAAACCTTGAAAATAAGATGACTATGCTCAATTGAATTTCTGAATTCCTTTTTTTAATAATGCAAATATCAAATTATTTATGGTGCAGTAATTGCATATCAAATCTTTCATGTTTTGTGGGTTAATGCCTGTGCAGTGTCAGTGTGCGTGCAGATAAAAGTTTGATGCTACAAGGAGTTATTACGTTTTTAAGCTTTTTAAGGTCCAGATGTCCCAGCATGCCTCTGGAGACTAGGATCATTTGGCACACTGCCCTAAAGACTCCTCCTCATTAATGACCCAGAAAGCAATTAAGGGGAAAAACACTATCCTTTAAGAAGCTTGTCAGAATAAAAGCACTCAGCTTAAAGAAAAAAAAGAAGGAACAGAAACACATGGAGTACATCATCTCCTGTCCATTAAAAAGTACAATCATCGTCACATACACAACAACACACAATGACAAAGGTGCCATGCACATCTTTGAACTACGCTCAGTAAAGGGAATACTTAAGCCAAGGTGAAAAATGCCCTATCCCCTGGATCCACATAGTTAACCAGATCTGTACTAAAATGTAATGGGTTCTTCACTGGGCCACTCCACCAAGTCTGGTGCATATCGGTTCAGTACTTTTTGTGTATTCCTGCTGACAAAAAAATAAACAAACAGGTGAGAACACAACCTTCTTGTTGGAGGTAATTAGATAAAATTGAGACAAAGGGACAATTTGATTTTTGATTTCGGCAGTCATTCTGTGATGATGGAAAGCTCATTGTTTGCTTAAAAATGTAACTTAATTTCCTGGATAGCAGACAATATAAAGGCTTAAAAGTAGATTTGACATGTTTTACAAATCCTATGTTCTGTCGCTTAAGGATATTAACATTTTTATTGGTATAAATCTGCTTTTAACCCTGTAAATCAAGCAATCAGTGATTTCGAAGAGTATGTATGGAGCTCCAAACACATTAAAAAAATTCTGTATAAATTATATTTCAAACATGTTACCACTCTTAATGCACTTTACTCATTATGATCCCATTCAAGATGCTGCTGCCTGTATGCTTCATTCATTTTGTGTGTGTAGGTGTTCATCCTCAGCTGAAGGGAGAGGTGAGTCATTATGTTACAAAAACACATTTGACACAGATAAATACACACACTCAGCCTGCTATACTGTACATCACATTTCATAATATTATTCATATGGCAGTTATGCAATGTTCAACCTGCAGGCAGAAAGGGCCCACATGTGATTTTTTTTTTCTGACAATGTGTTAACAAAGAAAACTGAACCCCCTCTGTGTCCCAGTGTTTCCTCTACCTTAGCCTGAACTTAAACGTCACCCTATCCCTAACCAGTCGTGTTTTATGATGCTCACTCGAACCTTACCCTCATCACAACCAGTTATCTCTGACTACTCCCGAGCTTTGGAATCCAGTGTTTACTGAAATCCGTCCGTACCAGTTCAGATTCAGTGAGATATGAATCACCTTTGTTATCCACTTTCCCCCATAGATGTATTCCTCTCACCATCTGCGTGTTGTTGACAGCAAACTTTGATGGACGTGTTGCTCAGCCAATCTAAGCCACTGTGTATGTCACCGTGGGGTCAGCGTCCAATTGTATGAGAGGAGAGGCGGGGCCTAAATTAAGAGGGCGGGGTTACAGACAGCAGCGCTGTGTGGCGACCTGCCGATCTGTCAGCGGCGGGTTTAGTGTTGTTGTGTCTCGGTACAGAACAAATGTATCCGTGAATATGATTCAAAATAATGGAGAAAGATGGAAAAATCACAGACTGAGGTTTCTGAATACACCTACAGAGATTTGGACTGGACTTAAAAACGCCACAGCTTTTTAATGCCACTGCAGAGGTCGGAAATTTCTGGATATAACGCAGTGAAGTTACAGGAATCTTTGTCCCGGACTGAAGAAAGACAAGCGGGCCTGAAATCACACAGACGTCGGCAGAAGTTGGGCTACGGGCTGCGCTAGCTAAGTTAGCATTTAGCTTGCTGTGAAACACCAAGTTATTTTTATCCACTGGGAAGTAATCTTATAAAGGGTAACACAGCACAGTACGTGGCTATATGCAGTGTGGTGTAACGTGTGTTTAAAGAACAGCTTTTTTACGTGTCTTTGGTAACGTTAGCAGCAGTGATAATAGCTAAGCTAGCTGGCTAGCTCCCTGGCAGGGCTAGCTTGTTGTTCCCCAGCGAAGTTAGGCAGAAAGCTTCTCTTGAATAGGAACAAAAAGATAGACACCATCCAGCTTTGGTATTTTTTTTTGTTGTTTTTTTTTGCATACTAGAAAATATATCTCAACAGAGATATCTGCTCATAAAATTTGCAATTGCCACCCAGCTTATTATAAACATCATCATCCAGACAATAAGCATGTTCTTCTTCTTTTAATCTTTAATAGATGTGGTGTTGGTTATTATACTTATTATACTTTTTTTAAGCTGTCAGCTGGAAAGACAGAACTAGTTATTTTCTTTAAGTAAAGTTTTTTTCCCAGTGAGCACCAGCTTTGCTCAAACTGTTAGATTTCTTGTCTTTAACTTTAGCAGTAAGGATGTATTGGTTTTCAAAACCACAGTTTTGGCAGCCACCTTGTTATTCAGGCAGGACATTCCTCCTGTGAGACTGTGGTGTGGTTTTAGTCTAAAACTTAACTACTTGCACACAGTTTGGAAGACTTCCAAGTAAACAGGCTAAACAAGGACTTTTAACTGGTGGACCCCCATTCAGTGAGTTCATGGCATAACAAACATCATCTTTGTTTTGGATCAAGTCAGAGGGATAATACACAGGGGGTCTCATTGGTTACCCATCCTTGTGTCAACGGGGGAAGTCTACAGTTGCTCATCTTCAGCCTCCATCGGGACTGGGCTCAGATGTAAGACGTCATGGGCAGCCAGGGAAGCCCAGTGAAAAGCTATGACTACCTGCTCAAATTCCTCCTGGTCGGAGACAGCGACGTGGGCAAAGGAGAGATCCTGGACAGCCTGCAGGATGGATCAGCTGAGTCCCCATATGCTTACAGTAGCGGTGAGTCACTCCTGTTTCAGCTGATTGGGACCTGCTGGCTCAGTTTTGCCCGCTTATGATGACAAGCTTCTCAGATTGTGTCATGCTTGCTCAGCACAAATGTCCTGAACATACTAGCTGCATTTCAGAGCCTGGACTGAGGAGAATGCACAATGACCTCTCTTACTGTCTTTAAAAAACACATTCACATACACTAACACTGATAACACAGACCATTCTCATGGAAGTGAGTCATGCAGCCATGAATGTATGTGCATTGTTGTAGACTTATCAGTCATTTACTAAACAATGCTTTTCATGACCCCATAGTTTAACAACAAAACAATAGGCTTTAGACCTACATGATATGCATGCTGCTGGTATTACACAGTGAATATCAGCGTCCTCTCCAGTATGATGATGGGTTCATTTCCGAATCAGCTTCAGTTGCGCCTAACTGTAAAAAGTAAGCTACGCTGCCAACCCAACTATAGCAATATGCTTCGGCACTTGTATATAAGTGTATTTTAGCTGATTGGAGGCTGCTTAGCTATATTTTTGAACATGCTTCCAGACCCATAAGAAAGATTTGAATTTGAATATTACTGAGGCAAACTGAATTAGATCATAGTTTCCAAGTCAGCTGTGTTAGTTACTTGAGAGTAGGTGTATTCAGGAACACCAGCACTCTTATCTCCGGGAAGGGAAGGGCTGATGGAGCTGTGCCCAGTCAGATGATCCCTCCCTGGGCGGAGGAGCTCAGATCACCTGGCTCTCCCACTGCTATTGCTCAGGGGCTGACAGCCACTATCTGATCACAGCCTGCTGCTGCAGTAAGCTGCCAGTCTGTGGCTGCTGTACACACATACTTAGACACTACCACTCCTATCAAAGGGAAGCCTTAGAAGAAGAACAGGTAGAACCAAAGTGAAGAATAATGTAAGAAAGTTCTTAACGGACCAGCTCTGTGTTTTCATATCTTTCTGCCTATTTGGTACAAATCATATACACATTACTGTCGACCAAGATTTCTTTAATGTATTTCGTACATGTGTCCTCTGGTGTTCCACAGGCTTAGAATGAATTTGCGGTGGTCAACCTTGAGGGGTGGATCACTGCACAACTTTGCATCCACAGCTATACAGCTTTTCCCATCTATAGTTTTTTTAATAAACAGCCATTATTGGTCTCATGGCTTTGTCATCACATGTATCCAAAACAAAGGGTTAGGTTTGTTGTAGCCACACGGTTTTCCCTTGTTTCTTCAAATAATTGGGGGAATGCAGTTAAAGCTGCCAAAGAAAAGGAAGAAATAATAAATGTCGCCCAGATTAACTCGACATATGGGAAACACTTTGTCAAAATGAACATAATGCCTGCTGCTGTCCAAATTATATTACTATTATGTGGTTATGTTGTGCAAATCACAACAAAAAGCTGTCACAATCTTCGCTGTGATTGATTACCCCAACTCAGGCAACTTTCATATATCGTTGTTTCTGATGAATGCACTGAAATAAGATGAAACTAATGGACTAATGGAAACTAAAGACAGTAGAGAATGAATCCTCTATCACAGGAATCACTGAGATGAAGCTAATGGATGTTGTGTGAAACAGTAATGAGGTGCACAGCAAGATAGAAAGGAAGAGAGTCCATCCATCACATGCATGCAACCTAATTAGACCCTCTTCTTCCCTTTAACCTACTGATCAGAATATCAGCTGATTCCTTTAAGGTAAAATGTGCATGTGAGCTGCATCTGCAAACAGTCCTCATCAGAGATGCTGCTGTAGTTGATCCCCAGAGCACCCATTTAAGTTTTCAGATGAAGATTATCATCTCATGCCTTCAGCAACGACAGCAACCGCTCATGAAAAATACATCAGTCAGCAGAGTGACCCTTTTTCATCAGCGCTTAGCTAATGAATTCTGCCAAAGGGTGATGCTGCCTGTCGGCATTTGGCAGCAATGTGAAGACCCTCCGTCAGGTTGAGTGTGTTCGCAGACATCCCCACTTACTGAAGACCACACTGTTTGATTGCAGCAGTTGAATATTATTCAGAGAGAGAGTTCATCATTACAAATAAGTAATGACCAGAGTTAAAGAGAGACAAGACTCTGTATCGTGGTTGTAGTATCGGTCTTTGCTGATTGTCTGTGGCTGTGATTGTACTTGAAGCTACATGTTTTATACAGCTAAACATATCATCAGTATTTTAATTAGTCAGTGAACTGACAATAAACGGCAGCTGTTTTAATAACCCATTTATAGTTGAAGTTGAAGTTGAAGTTGAAGTCGACATTCTCTACTTGCAGCTACTCAAACATGAGGATTAGCTGCTTTTATATTATTGTGAATGCAATACCTTTGTGTTTTGGATTGCTGGTTGGACATATTAGTTGAACACGTGCCATCATTACTTGTATACGTGGTCCAGTTATCTGCGGACTACGACAGAGCTGAAATGATTTGTTGATTAATTAGTCAATTGACAAGAAAATAATAGTTAATTATTATGATGTCTTAATAATCAAATATTCCCTGGTAGCAGCTTCTCAGTTGTGAGAATTAGCTGCATTTCTTTGTCTGGTGTGATAATAAATAAATTATATTTTAAGTGTTAGACAGACAAAGCAGTCAGTTAAACCTGGGCTGTAGGAAACTGTGATGGGCATTTTAGAAAACAAATAATTCATCTATTAATCAGAAAAATAATGTGCAGATTGACTGATCTCACTGATTGAACACATTGCTGCCCAGCCCTCAGATGGAGTATATTTGAAATTGATCAGGCATCAGTGTGGAGGCCAGATTCTGAGGAGCGTCCTATTGCGAGCGAGATCAAAAGCCTAACGGCTTCATTAAATATGGGAGGGCAGAGCTGAACGTAGCTGATCCCGTTTCAGCTGGGATGTTTGTGCAGACAGAAGCTCTGCTATTGATTTCCATCCTTCTGGCAAACAGAGGTCAGCGTGGAGCGATGGGGAATGCTCGTGAGGATCCTAAATATTTGAAGAGGAGAGAATCAGGACAGGAGAACTGATTTTGATTGGATGACAATGTCCTCGGGCTATGATTGAGCTCCCTGTCTAATGTGGGATAGACCAGTCCGTTGCATTTCCTCCTCAGTGATCACTGTTTGTGTATTGATCAGAAATGTGATCATGAAAAATGCCTCAAACATTGTGACTGTAAAAGATGTTTGTGTTGATTTAAGCTAAACAAGTTCATAATTTATTGATTGGTTTGTCAACAGACAAAACTGCTGAGTCTTTTGTTAAATCCATTGATTGAATTACCTTACCAATGAAGGTACTTCATCTCAAACCCTTTAAATCCCAAATGACCACAAAGCAGTCCTGTGTATTACATTCTAGTGTTGCCTACAATGGCCGAATACAATGGCTGACAAATCTCTATGATATTAACCATCCCGTTTTTACCACATTCTGAATTATCACCATTGAAGGATTCCTCAGAGCATCAGTCTTTGTGAGAGGGCTTTATTGTGTTGGGGTTATAAATGATTTCTAAGGCGATTTCTAGATTAACGTTTCACACCACGATAAGGTTTTGAATTTCACAGTTGGTGGATGGTAGCCATCAGATAACTCCAGTCTTGGAGGAGGAAAGCCATTTAAAATGCGAAAGCAGGTTGAAAAAAAGACTCTTTTTTTCCATGCAGCTGGTCGACAAGTGAGACTCTTGAATCTTTTTTTTCATTCAGCACACACTAACAATGGAATATTCCCCAGGGGTCGACCAGGCACGGTAGCCCATTGTTTGTCTATGGCAGTGAACTGGCTGTTTTGACAGTGGCATATCCATAGACAACAGTTATCGCTGGATGCAGGCCAGCTCAGAGATAACCTCCCATACTGCCCTGCTGGAGGAGAGCGGGTGTGTGTGTGTGTGTGTGTGAGAGAGTGAGTGAGTTTGTAGGTAAATGAAAAGCTGAACCTGGTCTAATCCTCTTGAAAGATGCACAGACTGACACACAGACTGTTCAATATTACCACAGAGCTTAGCTGGAAATGCAGCCTCACTGCTGTCACATCAGATTTTCTGCACTTGCCACTTTTTCTTTCCCCCTTTCTTCCTTCTACATGTTATTTACTCCCTGGGGATGTGATGTATTTCATATTCAGTGGCATTCAGTGGTTACAGCACGTTTACATTAGTCTTTGCTGTTCATGATGGCAGACTGTATCCAGTCTGATAGACCAGCTGTGTATTAGACCAGATTGTCCCTTGGTTTTATTAAGCTCTGTTAAGAGCTGGTACTACCGGCTACAGCTGACCCATACATAAATCAGAGTGCTGATGGGTTTTTTTTCCAGGATTTCTCGCTTGTTTTTTATGGTGCTCTTAGTTTGTGCTCCTAATGGCAATTAACCTTTTTACATACTTATTAGAGCTTGACTCACACTGTGCTTTTGAAGCAGTTAGTGATATTTGAGTGTTAAAAAAATATGATAATGATTAGAGGTGCACATTTAATCGAAATATAATCGAAATGTCAATATGGCCTAGTGCAATATCCGAATTGCAGGAGCTGCATTAAAAAAAAAAAGGTAAAAAATAAAAGGTACAGATAAAGGTAAAATATATCACAGCATTGTTGTGCATTGTTAACACTATAAGCGTTGTGGTGCTACAGAGATGCCCCGGCCTACAAATCATACTCTCCAGACTTACCAGAACATGTAAACATGTTTGTTTGGTACAAAACCCATCCCATCATCATCATTTTAAATTTTTTCACAGTGAAAATGAAATGCAGAAACAACCACTTCAACTGAAATCGCAATCTCTGACAAAATAATTGCAATATGATTTTTTTTCTTTTTGCATGTCATGCAGCCCTAATAATGATTCCTCGAAGGGATGTTTATTTTTACATATACATGTAACATAAGAAAACATCCATTAAATGATTTTTTTTAAAAGAAATGTAACCGAGATATGTGATGAGTAGAATGCTTTACAGTTAAAAAAATAAACTTGTCACTGCTTTCTGGAAAAACAACATCATGTAGAAACTGTTTCTATCTCAGATATATCTTTGATAATCCTTAGCTGAAATTTCTTCTTATTTATCAGTTGTTGCTAGTATTGGCTGATATATGCATCACAGTAAAGTGTCTCATCTTCAGCTCTTTGAAAACTAAACAGAGTCATTGTCTTATTCTATTCCAACTAAATATATCTGGAAAAAAGATAACATAAGAGAAATCCTTCTATTATGGCTGACCTAATGTTGGACAGTATGATGATATATAGCAGGAGGAAATATACTGTCAGAAATGTTGCTATCTCCTTAATGCATCTGGCCGTATTCGATCTCTGTGGGCAGAATTTCATTCACTAAATTGATCAAATGCAGGCACATCTCTCAGGTCAGTGTTTACATGAACAGTTTCTTAATTGATGTACTGGAAAATGTACTAATAACAGGTAATTACATACACTGTGAGTGTGGATTTAACCCTGTCGCCCACTCCCAGTCTTACTATGGTGCTTTGTGCTGTGACAAAAACACCATCTCTAATATTACCACAGAGTTAAATCAACGCCTCTCTGACACAGTCTCAACAAAAGCTTAACATTAGAAGCTTCTCACAGCTTTGAGCACGTCCAGAGAACAAAGAAAGTCAGCCGCCTCCCAGAATAGAAGCAGCAGTTTTCAGCTCAGACATCAGAGCAGCTATTGATTATCTGGGAAGTCTAAGTGAGCCTTGGCAACGAAAGGAAAGGAAGCACTTGGTACGAAGCCCTGCGCTCGCTCCAATTCAATTAGGCTAGCCTGAGCTCAGCACTTTAGCTCAGCAGCAGTTTTATGTTGCCAGGAAAATTGGAAGATATTGCTAATGTTGTTAGCCAGCAGCTGCTACCTGCCAAAGGCTGATGCAGTCATGTGTGGGAGTCTGGGAACTGCATGGGAGGGTTGTTCTCTGCTATTTTTTTTTCCTGCGCTGTTGTTCAAATATTACTGTTAGGTCTTTTTCCCAGGAGTCTTCGTTTTCAGTCTTGTTCCTGACAATTTCCACTTAATATACAGTACATCCAACAGATTGTTGGTGGTGGTGGAGAGTTTGTTGAGCATTGGCTTTTAGGCCAATTCAGCTGAAACGATAAGTTGAATTATAAGCTTGTCAGCAGATCATCAATCAATAACATGTTTAATGTTAACATTTGCTGTTAGCAGCTGCAGATGTGCTGCAGATGTGAACTGTGCTTCTAATACAGATGTGAATACCTTTGATTTTGGGTTTTTTGCTGGGATTTCTGACTAATCAAGCACTTTAAAGACAGCATTCACGAGTCCTCCAGCACTGCAACTAACAATTACTTGTTATTCATTAATCAGCTGCGTATTTTCTCAATTAACTGATCAATGTTTTGGTCTGTAACATGCAAAAAAAATTGTGAGAATATTAAACCAAAAGAGTAAAAGCAAAAATCTTACATGTACAATTATATAAAACTAAAAAAGTGGATAAATCTGGTGCTGCCAGAGAAAGTTTGGCGTGTTTTCTTTAAATATGTCCAAAACTATTAATTAATTATCAATCAATTATTTGTTGAATGATTTTCTATTGATTCACTAATCAAACAGTCAACTAACTGTCAGTTCTCCTGGCTTCATTTTGAAATAATCAACAGGTGAAATGATAATTAAATCATTCGTTTCAGACCTATGATCATTTCTAAGTCAGTAAACTACAGTAAAGTAGGGTGAGGCACACAATCACACATAAAACTGTTGAGTAAAAACAATAAACATCTTATATATCATTGGTGGGAAACACTGATTCTCCTGTGGTTCACCTGTTTGGCCCCAGGTGGTACCAGAGGAAACCACAGGGACCTGTTCAGCAGAGTCAGGGTGAGCATGTCCAGACGTGGAGCAGCAGAGCGACAGGTGTAGCAGTCAGACAGGTTTGTCAGAGATGAGCCAAACAACGGGCCAGAACAGAGAGATGTGTTACCCGCCCGAGGCTGCACGCTGACGTCATGACAGTCAAACAGCGAGCGTGGTCTGTGTCACACTCATGAGAAAGTTTATTACAGTGCACTTCTTATGTTCACTGAATGATACTAGAGATGTTCTCATACCATGTTTTCCTTCCTGAGACTGATTCCAATACCTGATCATGTGTATTGGCTGATACTGAGTACTGATCAGACACCAATACATTAAAAAAAGAATTACCAGCTGTATTCTACTAACCCCAATGATTGCTTGATTGCTGTCATTGTTGGCTTAGTAAAGCCCTTTGTAAAACGTGAACAGATACGTGAAGGCCATAGAATGTGTCTTTTATAATCTTTCTTTTATTATTATTTTTAATTATTTATGTGACTGTCAAAAAAATAATCTTGAAATAAATAACAATTCCTACACTAGTTGTCCTAACGCTCATGCCACCCTGAAGTGAAAGCCTTTCCAGTGTAACATTGCCAAATCGTTGACGTTTTGCTGATGGCTGACGTGGTACAACTTCCTGTGTAGGCTACTGTTTCAGAGCAGAGAAGAGCATCCTCGTCCATGCCTGATTACGTATTTTATGCAGTATCCGAGGCGTTTCCGACACTAATGTTGTTATCAGAACAACTTTAAATGTTGAAAAGAACGCCTGACAATAGAACAGCGATCCGACCGAAAGGTAAACCAACTGTCTCCAAATTAAAAAAATGAGCGTGATTGTTGAAAATCAGAAATGGGAAGGGACTGGCCTCAGTTATTACCCTCAATGTAAAACAAGTCAGAAATGTACAAAATAGAAATCTTACATTCAGAGAAAACTGTGAGATCCTTTCCCTTAAATACACGGTTGTCACATTTTTAAAAGCTGAACCCGCTCCTCTGTGTTGTGCTGTGGGTAAATGTACACTTTCATTTAGTCGTGTGGCTCAAGTAGATGATGAGTCATTCTGTCGAACACCAGCTTGTCTCTGACTGCGGTATTATAAACTTGATTGATGTTGACCTTCCTGATGCATCCATTTCTCTAATGCCTGCCTCCGTCTCTCTTTCTCTCTGTCCAGGTATCGACTATAAAACCACCACCATTCTTCTGGACGGGAGGAGAGTGAAGCTGGAGCTTTGGTAAGCACACGTCACCGCTGAAAGGATAACCCGTCATGTCTGTGCAAAAGTGAGAGTGACTGCTGCTCTTTTTCTGATAAGCATTCATAAATCCCTCAGTGTAGCCCCATTCTAGACCTCCCAGAATATTTTCTCATCTTGTGGTGTCAAACTAATCTGCCCACTCCTTCTCAAAGCTGATACAATGGAGGTAGAGCGGTTATATTGGCAGATATAAGTCCCGATTTTTTTTTTTCACTGAAAAAAAATATAGAAATGATGATAATCATGTGATTTTTGTTGTGATTTGGTGTGATTATGCTTCTCACAGCACTGACAAATAATGTTTGAGTAATACAACAACAACATGTCATGTCCTGTTACTCTGCATCATCCACAGACATCATTGTTAAACCTTTTCCTCAGTAAGTCATATTAGTTCCAATGAAAAACAATCATGGAGGTCTGTGGATTACCGGCAGTAACCAGGAAGTTTTCTAAACATCACAGTGTCCACTCACCTTCATGTTTCTGTGGTGCAGGCAGATATCTCAACATCTAGATAAATAAAACCCAAACGTCTTTATGTTTACAGACCCATACAGCTAAACTAGCTTCAGAAAGTGTTGGCCCTCTTCACTTTTTTGGTGTTTTTGCCCATCTATCTTCACACAGTAACTTAGCAAGAAGACTCAAACTGTACCTGCTGCTAAAGGGGCTTCTACAAAGTACTGACTTAAGGGTCTTAGTACTTTTGTAAATGAGAGTTTTTGGTTTTTGATTTTTGAAGAGTTAGCAAAAATGTTTAAAAACCCTCTGAAGCTGTGAGTGAGTGTACTGATGAAAGGTTTTGGATTATTTGCATTAATTTGACCACTTGTGTTTTTTTTTGCCTCAATCAGCCAGTGTAGTGATTGTTCAGACGTCAGCTGTGAGCTTGATACACACTGACTGCGAGTGTATAGGAGTGTGGCTGTGCTGTATTTGTGTGACAGACAATGGCTGGAACCCTCTAGTCTTTTTTCGCTGTTTGCCTCTCTACCTGTATAATTCAGATTCATTAAAACTCCAGGATGAGCTGGAAGGTTTTGCTCAAATTGAAACACTTTCACCTCAATTCTCACCCTGATACAAAGTATCTTTTCATTGACTCCAGGTCAATACTCTGCCTCAGATTCCATCTGAAAACATCTTTTGAAAACTGGATGAAGCGAGCGGTGGACCAGTTCATGCTGCGTGTAACCAAACCTTGTTCAAACCCACAAAACTTAATTTTAAATTCTAGAGGTGATCCCAAAGTTTCCAAACATACCAGATAAGTCAGGCTGAGACTTGGGGAAAAAGTATAAAATGATAAATGAAAATAAAATGATCCTTGAATATTTCAGTTTGATGCAGCCAAAAACACATGAAGTCTTGGATCTACATATGTGACTCAGTGTCAATATCATAGAGTGAAGAGTTGGAGCAACATGATACAGAATATTCTCATCCTCTGCGACAGTGAAAGAGAGGGAAAAAGCAGAATGCTATATGTCATGAGGTCGCATTAATATTCATCACATTTGAGGCAAGAGGCAAAAGACACATACATACAAAAATACAGTTTGTATAATGATGCAAAAACAAAAAATACTTGCAGAAAGATCACACAGATGAAAAGATGTTTTAATGAGTGCAAACTACAGATAAACAGGTTTACAGACAGGCAACAAGAAACTGTCCATCTTAAAGTTTGATCCACAAAACATAAGAAGGTATCCTGACATCACTGTGTTACATCAAGTGTTTACTTTCCAATATTATATAGCACCTACCTAACCCAGTGTGTTAGACACATTAGACACAAACACACCCAGCTGCAAGGTGCACGTACTTTCCTGCCAGTGATGTGGGTTCAAATCCTTGTCCACTGCATATTTTTACATGCATCACAAATACTCAAGCATCAGTAGAGATGCAGCAGATGTGTGTAATTGTCAGTTAAGACACACTGCAGTGCTAGGCGAGGCCTGTTTGGTGGAAGTAGGCCAAGGAATTCAGCTCCCTGGGGGAGAACCAACGCCTCGTCCTCCCCGTGGAGAGAAGAGTTTAAAGGCATGATGCAGAACTGTTTTTGCTGCCTCAGTCTTTGCTCCTCTCCTCACTCTCTCACTCTTATTCTACCGTCTAAATCTCATCTTTTCCTCTCGCTCACACTCTTTCCCCTTCTCCTTTTTCCGTCTCATGACTTCGACTCCTGCTGGAGAGAAACTGCAGAACGTAAAAACTTCTAATGTCTAACACATATTGTGTGTATCTAAAGCCTGATATATCTTATTCCTCTGAGCCATAGAGTCCCGCTGTCATAAAACTATTAAAAGCACATCAGTGAGTCACACACATGTTCCTTCATCACCATGAACACACACTCTGTAGTTTATTTTGACTCAGTTCCACACACACCTTCCTCCTGCCTCAAATACTCACTAAAACAACATATGTGGATTAATCCGCTGCTAAAAATAGTCCCTAACAAATGCACTACGTCCTTCTGTTTGACTAACGAGAGCAGGGCAAGGAGGGGCTGAGGGAATCGATGCGCTGCACACAGCTCTAGCACAGAACACTCCTTTACAGATCTTTTATGTTCTTATGGGAAGTGTAAAAATATTTTTGATTCGTTTTCATGGAAAAATTCCACTGTGGTGGGTGAAAGTACAGATACCAGTTCTTTGATCATGGATGGCGTTGTTCTCTCGGACAGATAAAAAAATCTAAATAAAAAATGCACACCACTTCCTCGTGATTTCCTTCTTGGTCGCAGCAAACAACTTTAACAAGCTATCAGTCGTCAGTTGTCGGGTTGCCTTAATATAGCTCAACGCATCTTGGGTCCTAGATTGTTTTTGACCAGGTGATGGTTTAGATGATCATTAAGCTGCCATCAGACCTAGACCAGTATATCGGTTTGCTGACGTCTTTAGCCGATTGCACTTTTTTATCAAAGAGCAGACATTGGCCTGTCAGTTTTATCCCGCGTCAATAAGACCAGTGAACTCTTTAATAGTCATTCATAAAGGCAGAGCTGCACCTGCCTGAAGAAGCGTAAACATTTCATTAGCACACCCTTTACTGAGCTGTCACCAGTCTTTGCTTTTCATTTTCAGATTGGAAAAACATGCAGTTTGAAGTGATCATATTTCCTCTAAACTCTCCACCAAAAATAGTTTCTAAATAAATCTCGAGTGAGGGAAACAGGCAAGCGAAGTTGTGCAGGCTTTTGTATTCGTAACATCTATTTTAAACAGGTGTTCACCGGGCATGGGAGCTTTGAGAGGTCACATCATTATTTGAACACTCCCCTTTGATCATTGATTTGTCAGGCTCAATTAATCCTCGGTTATTCTCTTTGTGAAAGCTGAAATCACAAGACGTACACTTTACAAAGCTGAGGATGTGTGTTCTCATAACTAATGAATAGAATGCATAACACAGGATTTTACAAGTAATGTGAAACCTGTGGGTGATGAACATGCAGTAGAAGTACACAGAGTATATCTAGTATACCCAGTACAGGGTCCCAGTTCTTATCAAACTCACCTCCTCTATCTTCATTGTAAAATCTCAGTCTCTCCAAGTGTACTGTGTTTGCCATTTCTCCCAACCACAAATCATATTGGGGTTCAGAGTCCAGCTTCTGCTCTCATAAAATTAACTTCTCTGCAGTTACCATTCCAAACAAGGCAGCCATTTTCTCATATTTATTGGCAGAAAATAAAAAACTAGTTGCTCCAAGAATCGCTCTCATCGGATCTGGTTCCCAATGTTTCCCAAAAGCCCAAAAAAACATTGAAAATGCTTTTCCAATAGGTGTCAGTTCTACTGAAAGACCAGAATGTGTTAGATTACTAATCCTAGATTTACACGACAACGACTGCAAAACAAACTGTGTAACTTCTCCTTAGAGTAATAGTAGAGATAGAGTTTCTGAAACTTCCCCACAGGAATGTACTACAAGGAGGACTACTACTGAATGTGAATTACATGTTTTCACATCACCACTGGACTGTGGTGCTCAGTTTGGAGAGACATAAAACTCTTCTGAAACTGAATATGTGACTTTTGGATGAAAGTCAGGCCAGTGTTTTGTCCTGGAGGCTGAAACCTGATACAGTTTAATTTCCTGCTTACTGTACAAATGTGAGCTGACTATTAATCTTTCTTTGTACCTCTTCAGGGACACCTCAGGACAGGGGAGGTTCTGCACCATCTTTCGCTCTTATTCCCGTGGGGCTCAGGTGAGGAAACAGATGAATGAATAGAGCAGAAAAGTCCACACTTTTGGTCAGAGAGGTGGCAGATTTCGTGTTTCTGTGTTGACTGTTTTGGTCAAAGGCAGATTTACAGTGCAGAACAAAACTCGAGGAAAGGGCTGCTCCACCTTGACACTGACTCTCACTGTTGATTTTGTTCGTGTGACTCTCTTTAGGGGATCCTGCTGGTGTATGACATCACCAACCGGTGGTCGTTTGATGGCATCGACAGGTGGATCAGAGAGATTGACGAGGTGAGTCCACACTATGTTTTCCAGACTAACACACCTGAAAACACATACATGACCATTCATGTACACTGAGCATGCATGCACAAGCCGGAGTAAACAGTAAATTAGTTGCACAAAATCCTCTTGAACGAGGAACTGCAAAGAGAGTTGTAGCATTAAAATGCAGGATTTAACTGAACAACAGCTGCTAGCAAAGACAGCAAGGTCAGTAACACTTGTATTGGTTATTCATGTTGCTTTCATCACTTGTAGTCAAGGCTGATGAGACCTATAAAGGAGCGACTGTGGGTGTCTACGTCATCGTTTCCAAAGGTCTCAGTTTTCACCTGTCCAGATACAACGCAGCCCCAGAGTTTTCAAACTAAAACAGGGCCAGCAGCGTTTCCAAAACTCTCTGTTTTCGGTGCTCGAAAACTCCGGAGTAGTGTGGACGGAAAGAGGAAACTTAGAAGAGTTGTGTTTTAAAACAAAAACATAGTAGTGTGGATGTAGCCTCAGAGACCGGTGCATGGATACTGGTATGATAAGGTTTTATGAATGTTGGCAGGGTAGATTTGTGTCAGAGAATCAGATTGGGAAAGGATGTGAGAACATTAGACCTACTGAAGTCCTGCAGCCTTTTGCACCAGCTGAAGCTGCTGGTCACTTCACACAGAGCACTGCAGGAGCAAGAGTGTGGCAGTCTTGTCTTAAAATGACCAAACCACAAAAGTAACTCTGGTGCATCTGTAGCAGGGACAGGTGATTAGAAGGGGGGGGGCAGGCAAACAGCAGGACCAGGACAGAACAAGGCACGGCAGCATGACTCGTCTCTGTTGGCTGCTCCGATGCTCTCAGCTCCAGTGTACATCTGACAGCGCTGTCAGCAGCCGGCCAGGAGAGAGAGACTCTGTAGTGCTGTAGGATTTCATAACTGAGCTATGACCAAGACCGAGACTTTTACTTTGTCTGATTGTGTGGAAATCTGATGTTTCACACCCCAGATGAAGAACAAGGACTCTAAAACATGAGCGATTTAGGTAAAACATGAGATTCATGCACAGGGGTGTGGAGTGGCTGAACTGACACTACATGGAAGAAAAAGCATGATCCAATGAAACACAAGCACCTGACTTATTATTACCCCCACCCCTTCACAGTTTGGGTATGAAGTCAGTTTCATACTAAATTTAGCGCTTTGTTCAGCTGCACCATCTCTGCTCACACTAAACTTGACCAAGTCAGCTGTAATAAAACATTGTTCTAGGGAGGGACGTTTCAGCAGTGCAACATTTGGATAAAACGAGGGAAAGATCACTGTGTGCTGACAGACTGTAAAGCTCTGACAGCTGATTGATTTCTTGAATGTGAACTAGCTAACATAATGCTGTTAATCAGATGTTTATATTTGACAGAAAATAGACATTGAAGTTTCCCAGGAAAAGAGAGCAGGAATATCAAAAGTAAAAGAAGAAGCTTGTAAAATGATGTTTTAATCCCAGTCAAAGCTGCTCTGTCCCGTGATCAGAGTGCTGGATTAGATTTTTCAGGATTTAGTTTTTTTCTGGGATGTAGAATTCCTCCATTTTTTTTTAACTTGACATTTACTTTTTGCTGAATCTGTTCTGGTGCTGGTTCCAGTAGAATCCAGCTTTTCTTTGCAACAGCACTGACATCCTTTAACTTTTTGCTTTCAATCTGAAGCAGTTAGAAAATGCTCCCATCTCTGACTCGAGACAAGAGTCAATAGAGAAGTGAATCACTTAAGACAACCTGTGTGTGTGTGTGTGTGTGTGTGTGTGTGTGTGTGTGTGTGTGGTGTGCTGTGTTCGTGTTGCTGTGGTGTGGTGTGTGTGCGCACAACGTGCGTGGCGTGTGTTGTATATGCTACTCACAACATGTCCTTCCTGCTGACTTAGAAACAGGGAGGATGTCCGCTCTGTGTGTGTACGTGTGTGTCTGTGTGTGTGTGATATTTTTGTCCTGTGGAATGTATGTTTCAGTTTGGTCTTTCCTGCTCCACCTCCACAGACGTGCTGTTGTTGGCCACTTCTTTAAGGACACATGAAGTGGAGGTGGAGGGAGAGGAAACATCTCTGGATGATAAAACTTAAATGATGTGTAGAGAAGATGAAAACAGGTCTGAAGGACAGATGTGCTGATGTTTACTGTTTACTCAGTCACCAATGACTCGGTATAAGGCTGCAAATGATGATTATTTACATTTTAAATGTGTTGATTACTTTTATGATTAACCGATTTATCATTTAGTCTATGACATGTCAGAAAATACTGAAAAATGTCCCTTGAAGCTGAAGGTGATTTAAGTTAAAAACCAAAAGATATTCAAATAACGAAATCATGTTGTGGAAATAAGCAAATCTTAACAACTGAGAATCTTGAAACTGAATTTTTGGCATTTTTACTTCATAAATAACTTGTTTGATCATTCAAATATTAAAGGGAACTGTTTAATAAATTGTAATAATAGCAATAATAATAATAAACTTTATTTGTATAGTACCTTTGATACATAATTGCAGCTCAAAGTGCTTTACAGAAGAAAAATAAAGTAAAAATTTTGTAAATTTTGCTGTTGCTACATAGCTAACATTAGCAGTCTCACTAGTCAAGAACAAACGTGAGTTCAGCATCAAACTTCATTCCCTCACTCACCAACAGCTGTCTCCAGAGGTGAAAGGCAACGCCAGTGTTAACTTTTGTTTCTATTCCATCTTTACTTTTACTGAAGTTAGCATGCTAACCAGCTAGCCCCAGCCCATATCGTCACTTTCCAATAACGACTCGCTGTAGCCTCCAGTCTGCCCTGAAGACGTCGCTGCTCAGAGGACGTATTATAACCTCTTGTCTTGTAAACACAATGATGGCTGAAGCTCTTGTCAAGCAACAATCACCACCACCTGCTCCCGTCAGAAAAACATGTTCAGTGACTTAAACAAATTTAAATAGCACCTTTAATTTTCTGTCGATCTACTTCTACAATAATCTCTTTATTACTGCTGAACATTTGCTGAATGTAGGTGGTGTTGGGGGAGGTGCTTTAAAGAATACTGGCATCTCACAGCAAACATTTTGTAAACAAATTAAAGACATAGTTGGCCAAATATTCACAGTATTGGCAGATTGTTAGAAATCTACCAGTGCTGTGTTCTCCACTTCTATAAATAAATACAGTTTAATGATTATTTCATCAGTTAATGTGCTTGAGATGAAAATAAAACAGTGAAAGGTGACACGGACTTTCCAGAATCTGCCACCTAACTCATCCTGGCATCGTCCTCGGCATGTCAGCCATGCTGTGGTAGTCCTCAACCCGCCGAGACCGAGTGCGAGCATCACATGGCCCGACCCTCTCCTCTGAGCTGAGGGTTTGGGAATGTGGAGATGAGCCAGCACCAGGCGCTCACTACTTTAATGATACTTTAATGATGAGTCACAGATGTAAATGGTTCAGATTTGGTTTTTCTGTGTTTAAAACAGAGGTTCTTCTGGGAGAGCGAAAGTCTCACAAGCACAAACACAATATACCCCAGCTGGCCCTCATGTTTATCACATGGTGGATATGATATATGATTGTTTGTTTAATATGAAGCAAAATTAAACCACAACTTCACCATCTGTGTGACCAGTTTCCCCAGTCTCCCATCAAGTTTGTTTTTATAAAACCCAACTTTTCCGTGGGAAGCGGCGTACACATGTTTCAAGCGCTGTTTTGTGCACAGGCAGTGGTTTTCAGTGAAGCCCCTCGTCTTCAGTAATCTGCAAACTCAGATTTTCCAGGCAGAGTATTGAGAAGTCTCTCTAACATGACCGAGCCTTTGTGGTAAATGTCTGACAGATCAGGCAGTTTTAACTCCTGCTGCTACTGATGTTTCCATCACCATCACCACAGCTGCTGCAGCTGCTGCTGTTCCCTCTCTGACTGTTGCTGAGCATGAAGAGGCAACAGGGAGGAAACTCTGAGTGGTGACAGTCAGGAGGAGAGGAGGAGGAGAGGAGGTCGGCCTCTCGCTGCCGTCAGGATTCGTTCAGTTTGTCAGAACAGATTTGGATGACTTAGAGAGACCTGAGCCAGAGTGGCAGGAGCAGAGACGTGCTGCTGCCATAAGGTTGTTGAATTAATAACAAGCATCCGCTGGCCACTTTGTATGAATGTAATGTCTCTGAGTCAGTCAGTCTCTCTCTGTCTGATGCTTTTAAAGCTCCGTATTTTCCTCTTCTCTGTGTTTTATTTCAAGTGTGGATCTATAAGAAAGTATATTTGTGGATTTAAGAACCAAAAACCATCTCAGTGTAGTTTTACATCTTTAGCTCTAGTAACAACAGGTCAGTGAGTCAATCAGAAGAGAGGAGGCTCTGAGCCTCTCTTCTGATTGGCTCACTGTTTCTTGAGTGATCCAATAAAAATATAGCAGATTTCAGATAAAACACTCAGAGAAACCAAATCCTGCAGGGTTGGTTGGTGGGTCCAGGTGGGCGGGGCTTAGAGCATGGCTGAGAGTGGTGACTGCTTTGTTGTGACATCACAAAGTTACAGAAAATCCTGATGGCTCAGTTTCTGAATGCAGGCTGTGTGCATTTCTCTGTGGACTGAGGCTTTGATACTTTCACAGCATTAATATAGAACCTAGACCTGCTTTATAATCAAACATCACATGGACATTTACCCTTATACTATATGGAGCTTTAATCAACTGAAAATACTGCACATCTGAGATCTTTCTACTGTTGTCAAAGCATAAAAAACTTTCCCATTATAATGATTTTACAAAAAATTGTCAAAAACAGGTGTGAAGAACCCTGCCAACAGTATTTCTTTTTTTCAGCTGATACTGTTCTTGTCAAGAAAAATAATTATATATGGTAAAGTTGTTCAGTTCAGAAGATATTAATTTGATTTATTATAACATCAGTGACACTTGTGATTCACAACCTTTTTGACATTGAACCCCTTTTAACAAGGTAATATCTACTTGTGACCGCTCCTCTCAGGTTGCATTTGTTTACAGTGGCCAGTTAAAGAGTAGTTTGTCTTCCTCAGAATATTTTATTTGAAAACTTGAAGTTGTGAAATTAACCAGTAATTCACCAGCAAAATGCAAAGATAGATTGTGAATGTTTTTAATTATAGACCAAGCTTGAATATCCACACAGCATATTAGTAATCAGGACATTCAACAATTGGTAACTTAGTCCTGTGGTGTGTTTTGTGTTTTTCCTTCCCAGCATGCACCAGGCGTGCCTCGAATCCTTGTAGGCAACCGGCTACATCTGGCCTTCAAACGGCAAGTTCCCACCGAGCAGGCGAGGGCGTACGCCGAGAAGAACGGCATGACGTTCTTCGAGGTGAGCCCCCTGTGCAACTTCAACGTCATTGAGTCCTTCACGGAGCTGTCACGCATCGTCCTCATGAGGCACGGCATGGAGAAGTTCTGGAGGCCCAACAGAGGTGAGTGGACGGGGGGACCGGGGGGGGATTCAGAGTGGGTGAGCCAGGTTGAGGAACAGTGGGTACGATCAAAGAATGAAACTACAACAGTCAAGGCCAGAACAGCTCCTGGAAAAACACGCTGTGATTATAGAAGTGAGCACAAACAAATGAAGGACAGATTTAAGAAGAAAACACTACAACCACGGCTCAGGTTGTAAATCTGTAATTGATGTCCATTTCCACAGCACTAATAATGTCAGCACACGACAGCCTCTGTCCTTGCAGCCTGTTACAGCAGCTGAACATGAAGGCAGTGTTGCTCATGAACCAGGGTTACCATTTCACAATTTATGATGGTTTGCTAAAGCAACTGCACAGTTTGTGATCTGTTTGTCATATAATTTAGTCGTCTTATCAAATTGTGCTTTAATGGGCTTAACTGTACTTCACTGATTTTCATTAGTCCAGAGGGCAGAGTAACTGAGCTGGAGTCAAACATTGAGACATTCTGTCATATTTCAATTCACACTGTGATTCACAAAGCAGTTCTTACTGAGGAAAGCAGGTGGAAGTGAAGTCCTGCACATCCTCAGAGAATCAAGTATCAACAGGCGCAGGTTTACTGTGTCGACGCTCACTCTCAGCTTGATTTAATGTGTTCAGGGCTCGTCCTGGTGACACTGAAGTTAAGTTCAGGTCTGACTTCCGTACTGTGTCTGTGGCTGTCAGCTCTTAATCCCACTGTTTCCTACTGAGGACATAAATCTTTGAAAACACCTCATAGATATATAGTATACCTTAGTTTCACTTTTTTTTCTTTTTACAGAGAAGCTCAGTAATTATTAGATTTTTAAGGTTCCTACACGGTTGGAAGAGTCAGTATTGACTATGTTGGCTGTGCTGTGGAGTTTGTGTTTTATTGTTCACCTCCTCTCTGTCCACCCCTCGCTCAGTCTTCAGCCTCCAGGACCTCTGCTGCAGAGCCATTGTGTCGTGCACGCCGGTCCACCTCATCGACAAGCTCCCGCTGCCCGTCGCCATCAAGTCCCACCTCAAATCCTTCTCCATGGCCAACGGCATGAACGCCGTCATGATGCACGGACGCTCCTACTCGCTGGCCAACCCGGCCGGCGGCTCCAAAGGCAACAGCCTGAAGCGATCCAAGTCCATCCGTCCACCGCAGAGCCCTCCACAGAACTGCACCCGCAACAACTGTAAAATCTCCTAATCACCAGAGCAG